GAAATTTCGAGATCCAGAGGAAAAGGAGAAATTTTAACCATATTCGTGGGAATTTCTAAAGTTCATGTATTACTGTAGAAAAAGAGTTATCGTATTCGGCCAACCGAGTAAATTGAACTTTTTATTATGATAAATAGCAAAATAAAATACAACATAAACAAAAATGTTTATAACAATATAAACACGTTTGTTAGCATCATCAGCAGATGATTATAACTCCAACCCCCAACTGTAATGATGAACGATCACAAACTTGCTTTGAAAACCTCGTTAGTTTAATTTTTGGCAAAAAATATATTTATAGCCTATTTCAATAAAGGCCTAATAGTCTATTGTATAGTAAGACAAAATCGAATTATTTTTATTATAGCGCTATCTGTGGACAAGTTTCTTCACAATTAATAGAAATCGAACTCGCTTGAAAAAGTGTTTGTTTTTCCTCTGAAAACAGGTCTTGGGTACTTACGAAGTACTTATTTTGAAAGTAAGGCATTGTAAAGCAACTAAACGTCTCTTATACCTACAATATATCTAAATCTCTCATTCGATAAAAATATAATTTCGCACATCGCCTACCGCGATTCTCATACAGGACGCTCTTCATGACAGCGACAGTTGTGTATGTCATTTTAATACACAGATAAATTGTATTTTTAGTCATTTTTGGATGTCGTCTGTTGAAATCTTCCCTGGTTCGTTCAATTCATTCGTTTTCTCGGATCAGCCGCAGTTAGTGGCCAGTATTTTATTTTTGAGTTGAAATCTTTTAGTGTACCTACTAATTAGTTAACTTTTCGTTAACATGGCAGTATAATGTCTAATTCGTCGGATGAAAGCGTAAATAAACAGGTAACGGAAGGCGGGGTGAGAATTAAAAAAACGAAAATTTTGACCGCATTCTTGGGAAATTCTATTTCAGATAGTTGGCAACACTGTCGTGAATCTATTGTTTCATTTGTTTTGACAATCTTATCTTGTTTGATTTTATTTCCGTTATATCTTTTATATTGTTTCTGCTCAGATGTTATTTAGTTTTTTTTTGAATTTTTTTTTGAAAATAATAGCTTCACTCTTAAGGGGAGAGCAAATTGTAACAGATTATTTTCTTACCTTAAATTCGATCTTTTGAGTTGCTGGTTTTAGATATGGCCCTTTTAACAGGATTTTGTGAAGGAAACATCTGCAAACTATACCTTAAACTTTATTATTTTGAATATTCCCAAACTGTACAACTTTAAAAGAGCTTTGTGATATCTTCTCACATAAAAACGTCGGGACATTGTTAAACCAATAACCACCCTTGATTGCCATAACTGTCGCCGGATGTTTATAAACCGTCTGTGGATTTCAGAAAAAAACACGTAAATAAGAATAAACAAAGTTGGCTTAAATGTATAAGATAGACAGCCCAGTGCCATCCAGCGGTGGGAGGTTTAACCAACTTGGATTGACGGGAGGTGTCAGGCTGACCAATGCAAGAAGGATTTTTTATTATTGTATATTTTTGTGCTTTTGTTTGTTTTGTAAATGCTTTGTCGATAAAGCTATTTTGGCTTTTTGCACAATAAAGCGATATTTATTATTATTTAATATTATTATTAAGCGGTAAAGTTCACGATGTGACCCCTGCAGATTTCATACGTCTAGGTGTCTGTTAGTTGTTTTTTCTTATGTGTTTCTGTGTAAATAGTCTTCCTTAAAATGATTTTAATCTCTTGTAAGCTTTGGTTAACAAATAAAAATTTTTATTAAATAAAATAATCTAAGTAATTACCCTATTTTCAAGTAAAGCAACCAACTAAAACCTTTCCATGTATTTTTTTAATATTAAAATGTAAACGTTTCTTATATTCCTTTTGTGTTTCTTTATTCTTTTCACATTAAATTAAGCGTTTTATTTCATTAAGAACAACTACATATATGTTGAAAAACAAGTTGTTGAATTCTTGGTATGCCCGATGAAAAACAAATATATATAGATATAAACTAATGGTTAAAAAGAAAAACGAAACAATTGAGCGTCCGGATTGCACAACGACATTAGCGCGTGGCCGCGGGCAGCCCAGTAGGCAAGCGAGACACCGACGCACGGTGTTGTTGGCCAAGCTAGGTGGACAAAATTCATATTCAAATATTTAATAAATAATAATTGCAACACGTAAACAAATGATTCAGGATATCGGTTTCAAAACCTGTTTAAGTCTGATAATAAATCGCGATGAGTGGTGGGGTTGAAAAGCCGGGTGAAGTGATGCCTGCAACTGATAAATTAAATAGTGGTCTTTTATTGTTAATTTTGATAAGGTGGCCGTACGATACCCAGTGATATTTTGCAATTTTTAAAAGTGGACATCATTTTTGAGTGTAAGTATTATAATTTCGCCTAATAATATACATCCCAGGTATTTTAAATATTACGAAAGAAATTATTGAAATATAGTTAATTTTACTGCTTCTTTCCTACCAATTCAATCACATTAAAAGTCCAGGAAAAACCTGTACCCGTGTGTACCCAGGCTAAATTTTATATATGTCTTAGCTAAAATAGTTACCAATAAAACTATGTATTTTACAACTTGCACACTCGTGCACAACTATTTTTTTTGATTTTTTTCAGAACAACTGTTTTGAAGAATGAATAAAAAACTCAAAAGATGAGCGAAACTCTCATTTATTTGAGTTTCTGAAAACTAAGTTTAATTTAAATCTCCGATGAGTTCTTAAGAGATATTAAGCTTAAGTTAGCCAATTATTCCGCTAAAGTATCAGATAGATGGACGGCTGCAGGAAGGTCAAAAGAACGCTTCCTGACAAAAAATAGATGTTGGTTGGATTCGTATATTCTTACTAGTATAATTGAAATCTTTTTATTTTTGTGTATCTGTGATAATATGTTAAGTTTAAACTATGCATAGCATAGATATAAATTATTTATATTTATTATTTTTCGTGTTTCTTTGTGATTATTCTTCTAAACATAAATAATTTCATTTCCTTTTGCTGTAAGTCATTAAAGAATAATTATTATTTATAATATCCATTTATTATTGTTGTAGATATCTGTTATATACCTGATATGTCTGAGTTTTATAAATTTAATTTTTGGCTTCAATTGTGCTTAATTAATATTAACTTATAATAAATTAAATAACTTAAATGTTTCGTCTCTTTTATTACTTTGTTTACCAATAGTTTTAACTCAAACTTGATGTAACTTATATTATTCAGGCCTTTTATTTCAGAACTAGCCACCCAGAATGACTTTTAAAATACCTTAAATTCGGCGAAGAAAGACGCATATTTATGACCCCACAAAACTGCAATTCTTTCCACATTTAACCGACTCTCTAGCTCCAGTAGTTTCTGAGATACCCATAGAGAACATCGTAGGAAACTCACCCTGTAATAGAATCACCCACCGAAGTTAGATACACTATTTTTTTGAAACCCTATATAAGTTTTAGCAAATTTCTTATAATTTTCGACACACACAATTTTTTTATAAAGAAACTTTGACAAGTTGTGAAATGAAGCCCGTATAACCACGCGATATAATAAACTCAAGCCTATATAGATTAGTTTCTTTGCTATAAAGATATCTCGATAAAGACTTCATATATAAAGCATATTATTTAAAGAATACTCAAATATTTCCTTTACAGACATGTTCTGTGCTTAATCTTTATAGCAACCATAAAGCACTGCCTGTATATGTTGTCCTATAGAGAATAGATGAATGATATTTATAACGCAAAAAATAAAGAATCTATATAGTATCGATAACGCATAAATACAGATTCTATACAGTTTTTCGATGACAATATTCACTGTTACGAAAACTTTACTTATCCTTTATTAACTCTATACAAATTTGTATAGTTATACATAGTAAATATATGATCCTTTACAATTTCATGTATTTTATATATCTATAATGATATTCCGCTGGTGCATCATTTCTGGGGTTATAATCATTTTAATATGCCAGATACAAATGTGCTTCTCCGTGTTTCTACATTCTACTATAACATAACGGAAGAAAAATCTAAAATTTGAAATCTGTGTATTTTCCACAAGTTGAGTTATTGAAGGGCAGGTCGTACCTAATATATGTAAATAACAGAAGAAACTTCCGCGGGGTAATTATAATAACGGTACTGATGGTAACATGGTCACATTGGCGGGTAACAAGTAACAAGATGAAATTTTCCCATGAACACCCTTAATGAAGTTAGAAGACTTGATGTAAGTTTTCAAACTGATGAAAACAGTAGTGTACACGAATTTGTAAGTAAAAATGTAATAAAAGAGTAATCAAATTTTCAGTAATTTTACTTAAATCGCCCCAATATAAATCTTATCTAACCTATAGGTTTGATAGGCGTCCTTTACAAAATGTGTATTGAAATATATCTAGAAAATTTTTCTTAGTGTTACCTGAATTAGAAAAGTTATGTTTAAGTAAATACTTAAACATATCGTTTGTAGTATTTTTTGCCTTTAGAATATTTATATTAATATTTGGAATATTAATACTACAAAGGATATGTTTAAGAATTTACTTAAACATAACTTTTCTAATTCAGGTAACAAGAAAAACTTTCTATAGGATATTTTAATACATAATGTGTAAAGGACGCCGTCAGTATGTATATCGGTACGATAACGAATCGACAAATTAACTTTATTCAATCTAAATCCAGAATGTATAGTGGCTGTGAAGTATCAATACAGGCCAACTTTATTCAGTACAGGCTAGACTGTATTCAAACACGTATCGTCGCTGTACCAAAAGAATAAAGGCTGCCTTTATCGACTAAATATTTTAATATAGGCTCGATAGAGGTTCTATACTGTTTGGTTATACGGGAGGTACTTGTAATCATTTATTTAGTAAGAGGCACTGTATACTAAAAACGAACTAAAAATTACTAAAGTCGGGTAATATGGGTGATTTTTGTCAATCATGATATAATTGAGTTTATTAAAAAAACTAAAGCTGCTTACAGAAATTACTTTATTGATAACGTATCAAAAATAAATTAGTATTTCTCATGAGTAGATGTGTCATCAATCCAAAAAGTTTCGTTAATCTGATTGGCTAAATCTGGATTTTTCAACATCGTTACATGATTTCCATCGAATTCCTGCACAATTACCGGATACTGGGAAATTTTCTCAAGTCCATAATCTTTATCTTTCAGCTTGACATTGGATAGTTTGGCTCTGCACAAGACGATTTTTGATTCCAGCTTAAAAGTTGGTGTCCACGATACTATGGCTTTCTGTCTCTTGTAGAGGCTTATGATAAATTCTTTACTTAGAGGTATGATTACGGGTGCAGCAATACTTTCAGCTAGAGCCCAACGTTCCTCAATGTTTTTGCAATTTAATAATGAGTTCTGAAAAAATAAATTATCTAGATTACTTAAATTTTCCTTGCAACGACTAATTTTTAACCTAATGTTAACGTTAGAAATGTGAATCAAAATGCAGAAATGTCTATTAAATAGGATTATTAGTGAACGTACAATTTTCAATAAATAAATTATAAGGCTACCATACGATCGAAAAAAAAACGTCGTTAAAACAGGTGGGGAATAGCAATCGATGATAATTTTGCCAAGGCCAAGCCCTAGACGTTATTTACTTGACCTGTACTCTTCTTTATTTTTGTGCATTAAGAAGGTTGGTTGGTTTAATATAAAAAAGTACTCAATATGAGTAAAAATGATGTAATTTAAAATTCGAGAAAAATAATTTTTTTTGAAATAGATTTCTGTGTGCCAACGTTCTTTTCTTTTTTAATCTTTCTAGAATTCGTGATAATTTTTAACACTGTTTATGTCAATTTTTAGTAACTGAGATCTAGAGATATACTTCGCCAAAATTATCATCTATTGTAATTCCCCAGCCGTCTTTGACGACGTTATTTTTTTCGATTATAAGGTATAACGTACAGCGTATTTAAAAGCATATTGGCCACAGCTTCACATCCGTATTTATCAATTTATACCCTATAATTTTTGAGAAAAAAGGCATAATATTTTTTCTATAAAATTCCAATAATGTAGTTTCGTATATCTTTGTTTTATTAATATTATATCGTCAGTTTGTTGCAAAAACTAGTAAAAATACAAACATTTGAAATAATAAAACATGCATATGAATAATTATTGTAATATTGATGAAAAATAAAAATTGATAGTTTTAGGTTTATCATTTTAAAATAAATTTATATTGTAATTTTTGCAAAAAAGTCAAGATTAGTGGAACTAATTGGTGGTTTCAATTATACTTTATACTTAATAGTTTACGATCCTTCACAATGTCTATAAAATACATTTAAAACTAATAGAATATCCTAGCTTGCTGTAGTGAGTTGTATCGAGTTGTATCCATAGAACTGATAGTTGTTTAAATGTAGTAAATCTAGAAGGAAATTGTGGCAAAACTTAAATTAACAGTGACACTATTATTGCGATTTATCGAAAAAAAAAACTGTAAAATAGTTGGTTGTGTAGCGAGCAAGTAGATCTCGGTTAAAAATCGAGAGAAATAATGGAATAAATGTTCGTTAGTAAGTGACTATAGGTATAATACACATACGTGTAGTAAACAGATAATTTATGTAATTCACTTAAAATTAACTAGCTATACAGTATTTTTTGCATTTTTGCTTTTATTTACTTGTCAAAGATTCAACGAATTTAGATACGTCGATTTGAATTACCTGCTTCAGTAGCATATCGGATGCTTGTGTTAATAAATAATTATTAATTATTCGTTATAGGGCGCGTTATCTATTTTTATTAGAATTATATATTTTTAACTAGCAACAGTTTTGGACAACGTAAAATAAAATAAAAATTATTGAGTCTACTCTACATCATATTTTTCCACGTTTTGAATAAAATTAGAACGGCACTGATTTAAACCGGAATTTAAGTCAGCCATTCTAGGACCCTTCCTTAATATTTTTATGCAAAGTAACCAACTTTTATTCTAACGCCAATTTTTCTGGACGGATGATAATCAAGGGCCAAAATGACATTTGTGCATGTATAGGAAAATAATATTGAATATAGTTCTGATACTACTTCTAAAACTGAAAAAAAAATAGTAAGAAGTAACAATTTCTCACCACTCACCCAACTTTTTGCTACGACATCTGCTGGAAGAAATATTGCCATTATGTAAGAGATTAAGCTCACTTGAGTTTTATCGTCAGACTCGGCTTCTAGCATATTTGCTAAAGATTTTAGATAATCTTGCGACGAATCTATACATATGAGAGTACCTTGATATCCCCTTTTTTCCAACTCATGTACTAGCTGCAAAGCAACCAACGCACCGAAGGAATAAGCGACAATTTTGAAAGGCGATGATTTGATCAGTTTTTCTTCGACAATCTACAAAAGGAAAAAATAAGGGTGTATAAATATCTGAAGGAACGTGATCGTGAGCAATATCATTTAAATATCATGTCTTATTGAAAGGTAATCTTTATTGTTGTAATGAAGTTCATAAAAAATTTTGCACTCATCTCCCAGGAATGTATATTGTGTTAATTAATATTATACCAGAATAAAGAGACTTCATTTTCTTTTGATAATGACAGTCAATGTATTTTATTGTTAAATCATTATTGTAATGAACTTCATTAGTGTTCCGATTGTTAAATTAAACAAGTTAAATATTTAATTGCCATATTGTAAGAGAGTTTTGATCGGTTTTGGTCGCTATATTTTAATGCGAGAAAACGAACCATTTGCGCCGCTCGCCCTACTCTGCTAGTGCAGGCTGAGTGGAGGGGAGCGCCAGTCGAGTACCTTTGCTGCAGCAGTTCAAAACGACAGTTTGTGGTCGCACGCGAAACAGTGAAGTCGGGTCCGGAGTGCCCCGCCAAGTGGCCAGCTGCCAACCGCCGATCGCCGCCGTACTATGCAAGGTAAGCACCAACCGCCGAAGTGATCGAGGGTAGGTCGTATTTTTTTTCATTATTGTTATTAACGTTTACTCTACCTACTACCTGGGTGCGTTATAGGGATAAGGGAGTTAGTCGCCGGGATTGTTAGGATATTAAAAGCGCGGGAGAGCAACAATTGCCGAGCAGGCGAAAGAGGGAATACCCAGTGCTAGGGCAGGTCGCCAGGAATCATGGCTCTTCGGAGTTCTGTTTGACATCTGCTCAAGTACAACGTATCCTTCGGTTGCGGAGACGAGAGTCCTTAGTTTCTTTATTAACATTAAAAACGCGGGAGAACAATCATTGCCGACCAGGCGAAAGAGGGAATACACAGTGCTAGGGCAGGTCGCCAGGAATCGTGGCTCTTCGGAGTTCTGTCTGACATCTGCTCCGGTAAAACGTACCTCTCGGGAAAAGCTAGTTAAGGGTTAATGATTAATTATTTTCTTAAGGGACAGCCAGGGTAGTACAGTAAACGCACAGGTCGCGAATATTTATGATGCTTGAACAGGATCTCGCCCAACTTCCGAGGCTGGTTCTGTCGCGACCGCTTTTCTCTAGGTGTGTCGTCCGGACGGCACCCTGTAACAGTGACGCTGGACGGGATCTCGCCGAAATCCCGAGGCTGTCCTGACCGGGCGGTGTGTGTGCATGCTGCGCTTATCCGAACGGCGTAAAACTCGCCGAGGCGTCGCTAACGTCGACGTCAATCCGGGAGTGTATCCAACGGGACGCTGTTAACTTCGAGGTCGATCCAGGACTCGCGTTTGTGTATCACGGGACGCTGTTAACTCCGACGCCGATCCGGGGTCCGTGTTTCGCTGTCAGAAAGGACGCCGCTCCGATAAATACGTTGCTGTGACCATCGGGACGCCGCTAACTTTGACGCCGATCTGGAACTCGCGTCGTCGTGTGTAACGGAACGTCACTTCGGTAACGCGTCTTGTGTTCGAGTGATAGAGTCAGTCAGAGAGTTGCGTATTGGGAATAATCAATCAGAACTCTAGAGGTACCCGGTTGTTATTGTAAATTTTGCTTTACGAGGTACTAAACATTTATTTTATTTTATTATTGTTACAATTCGAGAATGTAAACTTTCTTTGATTCCTGTTGTACATAATTAATTGATTAAATAAAAACCTAGTGTTACGTTGTAGTTAATTGTGTGTTTTATTTTCTTTTCATCTCATCACTCCCTGGTATCTCCACTGTATAAAAGCTACCCGTACTGGTACTAGTGGTCACTCAAACACTGTAAACTTTGGGGGTGGCGCCCGAGAACCGAACCAAGGCATCTCGGCGTCTGTAAGCGTTCTCAAAAAGGAAGAGAACCTCACATTGTGGTAATATGTACGTCGTTGTAGGAGCAGGAAAGGTATTGACTCGAAGAAACTCACCGGAGTAAAAATTCACAGGTAACATAAACACTGGACAGGTCCGTAATGACCGAATTAACGAATGCACATTAATTAGTATTTTATGTCTATTTTAAGTTTACTATCAGAGTGAGTGGTAGCAAAACGGCAATTCTGCTAATTGGAGTTCGACAAGCAGTCGCACTCGCCACTTAAACCAACCAATCATGCCTATTTTAAGTTTGGTGTAGTAATGCCAAGTAATATGTTCATTGCGATAAACACGATTAAAATTACACAATGATATTACATTAGCCCGAGGCAAATTTTAATCATTGTTTGCTTTTATTATTTGAAGTTTTACCTAATCCGGTCCAAGTGGTCTCCTTTTGTCCCGCTCAAACAACGAAACTGATTTCTGGCCATTTTTATCCAACAGAAATACGTAGTAGCGTCTTTCCCCTTTTATTCCTCCGTGATTGTTAACAGTAAATACAAAATCAGCTAAATTATACACTAATTCGCAACAATACACCAAACACTTTACTTTTGTACTGGTGCTGATTCTAACATGGTGAGCGAAACACGCGTCCAGTGCAAAAGTAAAGTGTTTCGATGTATTATGGTGAATTAGTGTTTTATTTTGCTGTTGTACCACGAAAGGTTCCAACTCTCAACTGTAATACTGAACTGTTAGTATGACCACAATTTCCTATAAATAATTATAGGTTTTGGAAACTGAATTTCGGGAAAAGCTCGGAAAAACTACGAGACTCGATTTCTGAACTACAATATGATCGAAAAAACGGCGTCAGCGATGGCTACGAAATGGAGATCGCTGTCATTTTGGTAATTTTTTGTGTTTATTTGTTTTTTTCTTTGTGAGTGGTGTGTGAGAGTGGTTAACGCCAAAACTTGTGTTTAATTACATCTTTTGTAGGTATATTTACAGAATAAATAATTTTTATTTATTTACTAATATCTCACCTCAAGGTATATTGAAGCTATATCTTCAATAGTGTCCTTTTGGTTTTTATTGCAAAACTGCACGCCATACAATTCGCCTTCTAATTGTTTATAAAGAGGTTCTAATTCTCCTATTATTCCCACAATTCCAGGGATAAGAATGACGCTGTCTGAAATTGATTTGTTCGATGCTTTACCCTCAAGAGACATTATCGGTATATCAATTTTTTTTTGATCGGAGAGACGACTTAAAATCATTTCATAACCCGTCAAAGCTCGCTCCTTCGTTACACCTAAAAATAATGATTAGAGTAGTTTTATAGAAACCATGATAAAATAATAATGCTTTTTCTCGTTTTATACCATACGATCGCCATTACCGCACTTGACGCCATTTTTTATCACTCGGTACCTTTACTAATACTGTTGAAATGTGTATGTATAAAAAATATATACCGTACGATCGAAAAAAAAACGGCGCCAGAGATGGCTTCATAATGGAGATCGCTTTCATTTTGTATATAAAATTATAGGAGGAATGTCATCGACTGTTATTTCCAACTGGGCGCCTATATTATAGGGTACAAAGAGTGAGAAATCAGAGTGTTATAAACCAAGACAGGATAGACGATTGCACCTAACCGGTTAATAAAAAATGTCTATATCTATGTGGCGGATTCATCTCTCCAAAAAAATTCTTTATGGGTATTTCGCCACTGCACTGCAAGAAAAATCTACAAAATAAAATAGTTATTTTTTGTAAACACTCCTGCGTTAAACCTAAACGGACGCTGCTTGTCAGAAGTTATGTTTACAGTTATAAGAATTTGCCTAGCAAAGAAAAAATTGCTTAACGTTTCGGAAAGTTTATCTCTTTCCGTAGTGGGAAGCAAAAAAAATACAAAGAATAAAGAAAAAAACTATTTAAAATATTTAAATTGAACTATTCGAGAACACTTTACTTTTTAAAATAGATACGTCTACAAGAAACCGTTGACGACGGAAAGAGATAAACTTTCCGAAACGTTAAGCATTTTTTTCTTTGTTAGGCAAAGTTATAACTGTAAACATAACTTCTGACAAGCAGCGTCCGTTTAGGTTTAACGCAGAAGTGTTTACAAAAAATAACTGTTTTATTTTGTAGATTTTTCTTGCAGTGCAGTGGCGAAACAACCGGTTAATATTGTTGCTTACAGTTGAAAACTGTGTGCCCCGTTCAACCAAATCAGCCCGGGCAGGAATTTCTTAAAGTCTGTCATCCTCTGAATTATGTGTAATTAAGAAATCAGTTTAAATAAAATAAACTGTAATAATTCTATCAAATAATTGCCTAATTCTTGTTTCAATTGTAATCAGGTCCTAATTGCTCCTAAAAAACCTTGTAGTGAAATCATTGGAACCATTGTCTTTCATTTGCAATGAAAAGTTTTTCACTGTCCCTTTCAGTTTTGGTCAACACCCTGCATGATAGTCAGCATGCATATAGAGAGGGCCGATTCACAGAAACTGCTCTGTACCAATTAACGAAGTTAGTTATTATTATATATCAGGCCAATTATACAGGCAAGTCTGGATAGCAAAGAAACAGCAATTTGTGCCTTCCTGAATATTGCGGAGGCGTTCGACAATATACCGTATAAGGTGGTAATTAATAATACCGTACAAGAGGGGTAAACAGAACTATTATTTGCTGATTTTGGGAAATGCTGTCAACACGGACAGCAGAGGCTCAGATGGGCACCAAAACTGTAGCTGTTAAAACAACGCAAGGAACTCCACACGGTGGAGTAACTTTATCTTTGTTGTGGGGCTCGCTAGTGGATGAACTATATCTATATATTGCGGATTATTTACGACATTTGTTGTCTCCCACTTCTCAACTTCCACAGATTTCTGTCTGTCCAGTTTTCTTCCTGAATGCCCCTTGAATTCATATATAGGGTGAACTACACCCTGCCTCCAAATTCGAGATGGTCTTCCACGTTGCCGCCTTTCGCTTGGTGTCGAAGAATTAATTCTTTTTGGCCATCGGTTATCATACATTCGTTGGAGATGTCCGAACCAACTTAATGTTTTGCTGTCAATGGCGTCGAGGATAGTTTTTTTTTTCTCCTTGGATAAACTAGTAAACAAATTAACTCTAGCGGAAATATACTGCATTGAATATGCAGATGACATAGTCATGATCGCTTGGGGGAAACATGAAGGCACCCTGTGTGGTATTATCCAAAGAGAACTCCATATCACTGAGAGATGGTTGCATGAATGTCGGGTTGAGCATCAACTCAAGGTGGCGCGCAATCCAACTTGATGGAAAAGAAATACTGCCATCACAGGAAGTCAAATATCTGGGAATAACCCTGAACAGTAAACTTCTATGGAACAGACATATTAAGAACATTACAAGCAAATCCACAAAGGCTCTGATGATATGCAGAAGACTGGCCGGAAAAAGATGGGGCTGCGCCCCTAACGTTTTGCGTTGAATATATATACCATAATATTAAGACCCATGATTACTTATGGAGCAGTTGCTTGGTACACAAAACTAGCGCAACGTACGGCAAGGCTAAACCTGTGCAACGTCCAGAGACAAGGCTATCCATAGCATGCATCTGCATCACAGGAGCCATGAGAACCTGTCCAACAGCAGAAATAGAGGACATTCTAGATGTAACACTACTGCACATTATCATCGGTAGATATGCCAATGCGACAATGATTGGAATGGTCACTAATGGAATCTACACTAGGAGAATTGTCAGACCAGGGGCTTGGAACACCCTCAAAAAGGAAATGCCACTCCACCAACTCCCAGTGGATGACATACCAAGAATGCACAACTCTTAGAAACACCTCAATGTAGTATTGGGCAATAAAAATAATTAGACGAGAGGAACGTTTGCTCAGCAGTTAAAAGACCATACCATAATTTGGTATACGGATGCTTCCAAAATCAATGCAGGAACAGGGATCGGAATATTTGGGTCAAGAACTAAATACTCCAAACCAATGGGCACCTACCCTAGCATCTAACAGGCAGAAATTTACGCTGTCAAAAGATACGTACAACTTATCTTAGATAAGAACTATCGGAAACAAATAATAGCAATCAGAGAACGCATAGAAAAGCTGAACAAATTAGGCAAAGAAAACAAAGTCCTCCTTCTCTGGGTGCCAGCTCACCAAGGGATAGAAGATAATGAGAAAGCAAATGATCTAGCTAGAAAAGGAGCTAACACTCCACTAACTGGACCAGAACAGTTCTGCTTCCCAAATGAAAACAAACTAAAAGTAGAACTCAAGAACTTGGAAGAGTCCATCCGTAACCTGAAATGGGAATCCTGCAACGATGTGAGACACTCCAAGGAGTTTCTGCGAACTAACGACCAAGGAAAATCAAAGATTTATTTGTGGAACAACCTTCGAATTATCCACGGGTTTTTTTAACAGGACACTGTCTCTCCAATGAACACCTCAGTAGATTGAAGCTAAGAAAAAACAGCAAATGTAGATTCTGTGGGGAAAATGGGGAAACACCTGAACACCTCATCACTGAGTGCGTCGAGACGACAACCATTCGTGCCACAAACTTTGGTTCGACCAATATAAGAGACAGAAAACGAACCTCTATAAAGCCGTCCCAGATACTGGCTTTTGTCCAGCCCTGAGACTGTAACATGAGTTACAAATCAAGAAAGGGTGACAATATACACACACCGGAAAAGTCTAGGGATATTACAATTTTATCCAGCCATCGTCAGTAATTTTATTATTTGCATTTCTGATATAATAAAATTAAAATAAACAAATAGTTTACAGGACGTATTTTAAATAAAAATGCGAAATTTACCGAATTTTTCAAATTTACCTTGATTTTTATTGAACTCAAAAAAATACACACATTTTTTTTAATTCTAAACTGCGAATTAAAAAAAAGATAAAACCATTTTTACTTAATAAAGGGTATGGCCTCCTCTACTGTTCATTACAGCCCTACATCGTCTCTCCATGCTCCTGATCAGGTTGTCGATCTCTTCTTGAGGTACAGCCTGCCACGCTGCATTCACGGCCCGAACCAGATCCCTACGAGTTTCACGAGGCATACCCATTCTCAAAATTCTTCTTTGGACCGCGTCCCATACGTGCTCGATGGGGTTGAGGTCAGGAGATTGTGCCGGCCAGGGTAAGATGTTTAATTGATGAGCATTGATAAACTCACTTACCACTCTGGCTGTATGAGACCGTGCATTGTCATGCATGAGAATGAAGTTTCTCCCAAAATCATTGGCATATGGTAACACGACAGGCTCAAGAATTAAATCACGATATGTGATTCCTGTTAGAAACCTTTCAAGAAAAACGAGATCGGTTTTTCGGCCTAACTGGACTCCTCCCCAGACCATAACTGTTCCACCTTGATAAGGGTGCACTTCCTGAACATGATCCAACCGAATAAGATTTCCCGGTTCTCTCCATACCCTAAGCCTTCTCGAATCCGGATGAATTCCAAAGCGTGACTCATCCGTGAAGAGAACATTGACCCATTGTTCATTCGACCACTGAACATGATCTCACAAATATCGTACCTCTCGATTTACTCTCGTTAAGGGTTGAGCTCTCCAGGGGCGTCTGCTTCTTAAGTTGACCTCTCTTAATCTATTGCGAACAGTGTTAGGACTAACGGTTACATTATGTGTTTCCTGGAGAATTAAACTAAGCTCTGGTGCTGTAAGAGTTGGTCGGCGTCGAGCATTTAATTGTAAAAAAATGATCTTGCTGAGGGGTAGTAATGCGATGTCGCCTTGTGTGCCTTTCAGCAACATCACCACTTTCATGATAGCGTGCACTTAATCGCGATATTACACTTTGCGTTGTATTTAATGCTCCAGCTACGTCGATTTGGCGCATTCCAGCTTCAAGCATACCCATAGCACTTAGCATTTCGTCTCTGTTAAGATGTCTACGCTCCATAATGTCGTTTAATACTAAACACAGTTATTTGAATGAATTCTGGCCAGTTATCATAAAAACATAGCCAGTACAGGTTAAATTCAAACAATTGATGCTAGGTGCTTTTTATACATTTGACAAAAAATGCACAAACACTTCTGCAAATACCCCAAATTTAGAAATAACTAGTGTGACTACTTCATTTCAATCGAAGTAGAACGAATCGGCCTACAAATATGTGGTTGTTTATTCAAAACATTTATTTTTAACTTTAATAAAATGATATTCCTAGATTTTTCCGGTGTGTATAGATATATAAGGTCGCGGTGATTAAATTTCCCCTTCCCATTCAATCTACATGTAGTCTAAAAATCAATAATACAAAAAAATATATAAATTAATAAAATTATTTAAAGTTATACTTGAACTCGAAGATTCTCTCTCGTCTTGTATCTTATGGAGCCGGGCGAAAGTCATGGACTTAATATCCTGCGGCGTCAAAAACACCTCAAAGTTCCTTTCTAACGTTTGTTTAATTTCCACAGTCATCATCGAATCCAAACCAAGTTCCGCTAATGTAGCTTGCATCGAAATGGTTTTTATATCTTTCATTCCTGCGAAGCAAAAGTATAAATTTTTATTTTATTTAAAATAATTGTTTGATTTTCTATTAGAAATTTTAAATGCAATAATTGTTTTTAGGCAAAATGCGCTTGGCACAACATTTTAAGAAATAATTTCATAGATGTATTTGTTATGTTATTAAAATGAATGGCTTTTACAGTTGGCGGCTCGTCTTAAAGACACAGGGTAGGGATTCTGGTTACTCGACTTTTTTTATTTTACGTTTATACTATTACGTCAAAAGCAACTTTTTTCTAAAGCCTACCGTGACTTCACTAAGACATCGTTTCTTCTTCACTGTTATTAATACCGTATGATCGAAAAAAAACGGCGTCCAGGTACGGAAATTTGTTACCAGAATTTCTAGAGTATCAAGAAATTTCAAAATGTTTAATAATACAAGATGATATATTTCAATATTTGCTTTATTACAATTTATACAGATATATCAGATCAATTAAACAAAATGGTAAACTTTTAGCTACCATAAATTACATTTTTTAAATAGCAAATCAACATCAAATAATAAATTAAACAAACTATACCCGGTTAGTCTATACCGCGTGCGTCTCAAAAGTGGCTCGCCCCTATAATTTTGTTTAATTTTTTCAGATAAAAAAGCGAGATTTCGTATGCTAGTAAATTAGGATTGATTGACGTACTCAATTGTTTTCGGTCACTTCCTGTTTCACCGGAAATGACTATAACTTTTGATTTTTAAATGGCACCCTCGGTATTTTTTTTTACTTTATTCGATAGAAAATAACACTCTGAATAGAATAACTTACCATATGTCAACTTTTGACATTTTCGCGCATATGGTTTATTTGATATTATAACTTGGGGTTTGTAACGAAAATTTTTTACTCGAAATACCAAGTGTGTGGTATCCAATTATTCGTAAAAAATGTTTTTTCTAAATATGCTAATGAGCCACCCCCGTTCCGTTTGAAAAAAAATGAAATATATGATTAAAAATACAATTTCAGCATGTTCTAAATGGCCAGGGCAAGATACTAAAAACATTTGACCATCGAATCTATTTTTCCAAAGCTCCTTGATTAAAAATTAGTGTTTTTAACATAGCCATGACACTCTAGATTGAATTTTAAAATACGATTATTTATTAAGCGAGAATGTCAAAAGTTGACATATGATATGTCATTCTATTCAGAATGCTATTTTCTGTCGAATAAAGTAAAAAAATACTCAGGGTGCCATTAAAAATCAAAAGTTATTGTCATTTCCGGTGAAACAGGAAGTGACCAAAAACAATTGAATACGCCAATCAATCCTAATTTATATCATATAGAGATAGATATATCATAGACTAACTTACCAAATCTCGTTTTTTTAACTGAAAAAATAAAAAAGTTATAAGAGTGAGCCACTTTTGAGACGCACCCGGTATAAGAAGTAAAGTGTAGATTAGGACTCTCTTTCTCTCTCTCTCTCTCTCTCTCTCTCTCTCTCTCTCAAACGAGGGTTTGTTTAAAAGAGGGTTCCTTACTCTATATTATGCCATAATAATAATAAGTTTTTACGCTAGGGGGCGCTGTCTTACATTTTAACTAACTTTACTCGTTTTTTCAAGAAAATTAAATACGATAATATATGTAATTTTAACTGATAGTAAAAAAACCGCATCTTGATATCTTTTTTCAAACAGAAGATATTAGCAAAATTATAATAAATACCAAAATATAAGAGCTCCCTTATTTCTTTATTTCTATAAGACGGTATAATAGTAGCCCTCTTGATTATGCCCATTCTAATATAAAAATAAAATAGACATGGTTAGTTTATTTTAAAATCGACGATATACCAGAATACCATGAGAAGATGTATTAATATCTAATAATTAAGATATTAATAACAGTGAAGAAGAAACGATGCCTCAGTGAAGTCATGGTGGGCTTTGGAAAAAAGTTACTTTTTTCCAAAGTATAAATAGTATTATATAATAAAAAAAATAGTAGCATAATATTTTTCAATGTATTTTAATAGTATAAACGTCAAATTGTTATTACATCAACATTTTGATAGTCCTAGCAGCGCTTTTCTTGCTTTTTCAAAATGCCTCTATTATTTGAAGCAGTTGAAGTTGTTAGCGTTTTGAAAAAGCAATAAAAAGATTAAAAAAAACGCTGCTAATACTATCAAAATATCGATCTAATAACAATTTGACGTTTGTGAAGTATACTATTACGTCAAAAGCAACTTTTTTCTAAAGCCTACCGTGACTTCACTAAGACATCGTTTCTTCTTCACTGTTATTAATACCGTATGATCGAAAAAAAACGGCGTCCAGTTGGCTGGGAAATGACGATCGATGACATTTCCCATATAAAATGACAGCGATCTTCATTTCATAGCCATCGTTGACGCCGTTTTTTCTCGATCATACGGTATTTATCTTAATTATTAGATATTAATACATCTGGTATTATGGTATATCGTGCATGTTAAAATAAACTTACTGTTTCTATCTTATTTTTTTATTTGAATGGGAATAATCAAAAGGGCTATCGATACCGTGTTGTAAAAATAAGATAATTAAGAGCTCATGTTTTGGTATTTATTATAATTTTGCTAATATCTTCGGTTTGAAAGAAGATATCAAGATGCGGTTTTCGTTGACTTTTTTACTCTTTACTACCAGCTAAAATTACATATACTATCGTATTTATTTTTTTTGGAAAAAACGCGCAATATTTATTAATTTGTAAGACAGCGCCCCCTAGTGTCTATGTTCAAAAGCTTATTATTATTATTGTTATGGTATAATATGGAGTAAGGAACGCTCTTTTAAACAAGCCCTCGTTTGTTGGATTCTGATTATCCAGAGTTCGGAGTTATTAATATTTAAATAAAGAGAGATCTAACCTTCCCCCACCACTTTATTTTTGCAGATAGGGAAAAATGGCTCTAACAAAAAAAATCCAAAATTTACTAAAGATTATGAAGCCATTATTTATAGTACCCATGTAGGCAAAATTCTGTAAAAATTCTATTTTCTTATTTTCCATCAGCAGATGCACCCTCTAGCGGCCGTTTTACAAACTTGAAAATAATTTCAGAAATTTCTCATATCCCCTTTGGTTATAAATATTTATTTCCGTAGGCTCTACGGCTAATACTTTCCGAGATACAGCCGAGAGCTATTTTTAGTGGGACACCCTGTACAGACAGTACTCTAATAAAACAAAAAATGTTATTAAAATGAATTCAACAAAATTACAAATAACACTATTATCTCATAGATAATTATATTTTTTTAATAAAAAAAAACATTTTGCTGCCAGCTTAAACTAAAAATGCCTTTTATGTTTATAAAATACTAGTGTGTACCCGCGACTTCGTTCGCGTCGGATTAATCATTTGTAATGGTGATGATCAAGTAAAGCAAGAATTTCCATTAACATACAAACTAAGATAAAATTTTCTTACATTTATGTCAGCATGAGAAAAAACAATATGGCGATATTATTATATAACTTGGTATAATATTTGAGGGGTAGTTTCATCTCGTTGGAATTTGACTTTCGAAAAATCCGTTTGCCAAAAATAAGCTTTTTACGTCAAGCAGTTTAAGCAGAATCGTGATTAATCAATTACCCAACTTTTTGGAACACCCTGTATGATTTTTTAAAATTTCAAAATATGTAAAAAACAAAATCAATTAGCGTGTCCAAGTGTTTTCCCGAAAGGCTCGCCGTATTTAAATAACATATATTGTAATATTTGTGGGTCGTTTTCATCCGCTTGGAATTTGAAATTCGAAAAACCCCTCCTTATCGAACCTCTACACCCCACAGTAAATCCGTTTGCCAAAAATCAGCTTTAAAAGTCAAACAGTTTAAGTAGAATCGTGATTACTCAATGGTTATATTTTATGAAACACCCTGTATAAATTTTTAAAAAATCTTAAAATATGTAAAACAACGAAATAAAATATACATGTTTAAGAGTTTTTCCGAAAACTCAACAGGATCGTGGATTAATCAATGACCAATTAATCAATTTTTCGAAACACCCTGTATACATTTTTAAAAATCTTAAAATATGTAAAAAGAAAATAAAATATACGTGTTCAAGCGTTTTTCTTCGAAACTTGACCGTTTTTAAATAAAAATATTCTAATATTTGAGAGGGCGGTTTCACCCCTTTAGAATTCGAGTTTCGAAAAATCCCTTCTTATCGAACCTCTACACCCTAAAGTCAATCCGTTTTCCAAAATCAGCTTTTACGTCAAGCGCTTTAAGCAGGATCGTGATTAATCAATGACCAGATTTTTCAGAAACACCCTGTATACATTTTTAAAAAATCTTAAAATATGTAAAAAAGAAAATAAAATATACGTGTTTAAGCGTTTTTTCGGAAACTTGACCGTTTTTTAAATAAAAATATTCTAATATTTGAGGGGCGGTTTCACCCCCTTAGAATTCGAGTTTCGAAAAATCCCCTTCTTATCGAACCTCTACACCCTAAAGTCAACTGTTTTCCAAAAATCAGCTTTTACGTCAAGCGCTTTAAGCAGGATCGTGATTAATCAATGACCAGATTTTTCGAAACACCCTGTATACATTTTAAAAAATCTGAAAATATGTAAAAAAAAGAAAATAAAATATACGTGTTTCAGCGTTTTTTCGGAAACTTGACCGTTTTTAAATAAAAATATTCTAATATTTGAGGGGCGGTTTCACCCCCTTAGAATTCGAGTTTCGAAAAATCCCTTCTTATCGAACCTCTACACCCTAAAGTCAATCCGTTTTCCAAAATCAGCTTTTTACGTCAAGCGCTTTAAGCAGGATCGTGATTAATCAATGACCAGATTTTTCGAAACACCCTGTATACATTTTTAAAAAATCTGAAAATATGTAAAAAAAGAAAATAAAATATACGTGTTTCAGCGTTTTTCGGAAACTTGACCGTTTTTAAATAAAAATATTCTAATATTTGAGGGGCGGTTTCACCCCCTTAGAATTCGAGTTTCGAAAATCCCTTCTTATCGAACCTCTACACCCTAAAGTCAATCCGTTTTCCAAAATCAGCTTTTTACGTCAAGCGCTTTTAAGCAGGATCGTGATTAATCAATGACCAGATTTTTCGAAACACCCTGTATACATTTTTAAAAATCTGAAAATATGTAAAAAAAAGAAAATAAAATATACGTGTTTCAGCGTTTTTTCGGAAACTTGACCGTTTTTTAAATAAAAAATATTCTAATATTTGAGGGGCGGTTTCACCTCCCTTTAGAATTCGAGTTTCGAAAAATCCTTCTTATCGAACCTCTACACCCTAAAGTCAATCCGTTTTTCCAAAATCAGCTTTTTACGTCAAGCGCTTTAAGCAGGATCGTGATTAATCAATGACCAGATTTTTCGAAACACCCTGTATACATTTTTAAAAAATCTGAAAATATGTAAAAAAAGAAAATAAAATATACGTGTTTCAGCGTTTTTTCGAAACTTGACCGTTTTTAAATAAAAAATATTGTAATATTCCACCCCCCTTTTTACCCCCTTAGGGGATGAATTTTTAAAAATCCTTTCTTATCTTACGTAAACATCATAAAAGGAACCCCTGTGCAAAATTTCAGCTTTCTAGGGTCAAGGGTTTGGTCTGGGCGTTGATGAGTCAGTATCAGTCAGGACAGTCAGATTTATATATATAGATTATGTTTATAAAGTATTATCTTAAGAACATCACAGATTTTCGATTAAATAAATCATAATTATCCTTCAATACTATTTTAGCTTTAATTTTAGTTGACAATTTTTATAAATTGTCAACTAAAATTAAAGCAGTAACCCGCAAAATCATCAACTACGAATTCAAATTTTAACTGAAATCTTTCAAAGATAAGCTTACAGAAATACAAGAATATTAACAGCATCATCCGATATGTGTTTACTTATTGTAATCATTATTATTTATGCTTATTTTGAGGTCCTCTCATTATCGTGGTTTGCGACGTCTAGTTATAGATTAAGTCATGATCGTATTTTTGGAAATTGGAATTTTATAAAAAATCCACAGATCAAAATATTGAACAATATCCTTAATGGAAAAATATAATTGAATATCCTGCGTGTGTATCATTGAAATAATTTTAAAATTGTGTGCTACTATTTCCCTCATATTTTATATAAATATTGCAGTGAAAATCTCAAATAGAAAAATTGTAGGTCACCCTATACGCTTCTCGACAAATTAATTCTGTTTACTGTTCAAACGTTATGTTTGCCAATCTTAACAAATAAAAACAACTTACCCAAAACACTAGCTACAGCGCCAACCATATCATCAGACACCAGCTCCGACCTTTTTTCCGCTACAACTGTACTGGAAACTACAGCTGATTCGTTTTGCCTTAGGAAAAAGTCCATTGCTTCTAAGCAACTAGCAATTTTCTGTTGTAATGTGCCTCCTATTTCTATTTCGATAGATTCGTCCTGCATGTCAGCTACTAATCCCACCTGGTTAAAACAATATTTTTAATATAATTTTAATTGAAAACATTTTTCCAAATTGTATAAAAATGTGATATTTTTATTAAAGCGCAAGTTATTCAATATGCTTATGTCCTTAGCTGATTAAACTTTGATAATATTTTAATCTTCCTGGCCTCGCTTTGGTAGTTTGTAAAATAAAAACAGACAGTCTTTTTGCAGACTGGAAATAGGTAAACTTTTTGTAAACATTTCTTCTTTAATTTATTTTTTTTTAAATTCGCCGGCGTTTTATAATATGCCTAGTCTTTTTGTTAGAAAAAGCCGGCTACAACCCATTCTATACGCCTGAGACAAATATATATTTTTAATAAATATAACATTCTATCAATATTAATCTACAACTAGAATAACTATTAGCATTCATTCAGAAGTTAACTAACGGAAATAATGATATATTGGATTAAATATTCATTAATTGGTGGTATAAATGAGTATTAGTATATGTTTATAAAAATACATAATATTTTTATAGGTATAGCTTTTGCTGCTAGTTTACATACTTCTCCAATAGCTCCCCACTGAATGGCTAATCCTGGTAAACAATCAGTCTTTCTTTTCTCGCAAATCCTTTCCATAATGGAATTAGCCATACCGTAATTTGTCTGTCCAGGGTTTCCTCTTCCACAGGAAACTGAAGAGAACATCACAAAATCTCTAAAAAAATATGATTTTTTTATAAAAAAATATATATGCCATAGATCATATTACAGATAGATATTATAGACATTTTCAAATCTGAATAAGTTTTAGTAAAATTACAATTTCTATAATTGTTATACCGGGTGGTGCATCGTCGTTGGAAACATAGGAAATCCCATGCAAATTTTTAACTGTCCAGATATTGGCTTCCCTATTGATTTTATAGCAAAGTCGGAAATAGATTTTTTAAGATCTACGTTTGGTAAACACATGTGCCAAATTTGAACAATTTTGGACTCCCGAATTACTTTTGACAATGACAAATCATAGTTTGTAAACCTAAGGTATGTCAGATTTTGACTGGTGTTTGATTGTTACCTATTCGGTTTTAATTTAAAAATAGATGCAATCTTTTTTCAATTACTCAAAATCGGCTGGTCCAAAATTGTTTAAATTTGGTATGTGTATTTACCATACATAAACCTTAAAAAAATATTTACGACTTTGCTGTAAAATCGATAGGGAAACCAATATATGAACAGTTCAAAATTTGCATGGGATTTCCTATGTTTCCAAAGACGATGCACCGGTATATCAGAGAAGTTGGGAAACGCATATAGAAAATAAAATTGGTTATAATGATGGGTATTGTATCTGTAGTTTGTGTTTTGAATTTAATTTGTTTATTTTAATTAAAGATTGGCAGTAATCGTTATTTATTATTGTTTGGTTTATAGGATTTATGTCTTTGTTTAATAAATAATTATTATTTATTTAACACCATTCTCATGCTTAGTGTGTAACTTGATGTATAATTTAAATATCTGCCTAAATATATTGGTTTACTGTAAACCTTTAAAGTAAGCGTATTTTACATTTAACCAAAATATCAAAAAAATTGGCGCCGGGAGGCACGTATAGCCGCCCATACTAAAATATGTTAATAAAAAGTTGGTAGGCAGTTCTTTTAGTTTCAAAGTAAAGGAATTTTCCCATTTTTTTTATCTCAAAAACTGGGACTTTGACTGATTTTGATGTTATTACAAATTTTGTTGCAAATATTATTCCTAATCTTAAATTGAAAACCGCGTTTCGCTAGCTACTGTAATTTTGGAGTTACGATTTTTTAAAATTTTTAACACCCTCCCATACCCCCTCCCATACCCCTTCCCATACCCCCTCCCATACCCCCTCCCATACCCCCTCCCATACCCCCTCCCATACCTCTCCCATACCCTCTCCCATACCTCCTCCCATACCCCCTCCCATACCCCCTTACCAACCTCCCACCCTCACAAAAAACTAATGGCCAGATTCTCGGGTGCCACAGTATGTTTGTGCCAAATTTGGTTAAAATCGGTTTAGCGGTTTTTGAGTTATCGTGTTACAGACGGACAGACAGACACCATGAAAATATTTTGTATTTAAGTTATTTATGACCCAAATAACTCATTTTGAGTGAAATTAAAAAACCTTTTTTTGCCGATCTTAATAGCCTACCATACCTATTGGTATGGTCGGCTAATAACTAAGATGTAATTTCGTACTTCCAAAGTAAATTTTGTTTTTCGATCTCGAGAAAGGTTTATTCTAGAAAAGTTTTATGAAATGCGATATTGTAAAAATATCGAAAACAACCAAAAAAAAATAACCATTCTTTTTAGTTTTTGATTTTAGTGGAGAAACACTCGATGTTTTAATGTTTTCGTATGATTATTTTAATATCGCACCTCAGTTCTGGACAGTACTTTCTCGTTACTTTGTCCAAATGTTTGGCAGCTCTGGCTTTAGGGCCAAAACTTGTTTTAAACATATCCTCAGTTTGGTTTGTAAAAATGCCATCTTGGAGTACAACAGCTAAATTAAATATACCATGCACAGGTCCAAGATAACTGGCTTTCTTGATTAAACTCTCACAGCCGCTTTCTGTGGTTATATCATCAGTAAAAATAGAGACGGTACAACCGTATGATCTCCATATTCTACCAATAAAATAAAAAAAGTTAATAAAGAAATAATGAAATTATTTTACAAAAGACGTACGATATTCTGTATGCTTGGTAACCGGTTTTGATTCCATTTCGAGATGTTAAAACTAGGTTTCTACATCGTCTTAGTACTAGCCAGTCTGCTAGTTCTAATCCAAATCCTCCCAGTCCTCCACAGATTATGTAAGTCTTCTTGCCATCACAATAATATCTAAGATAAAAAAAAATGTATAGATTGTAACCAAATCACTCCATCAACACAAAAAATGACTTGAATTTTTCGAATAGTTTCTATTTGGTGAGTAAATGATGAAACAGTCTTGCGGTAAACAGTTTCAAAACAAAAATTAAAAAATGTTAAAATTACACACCTCGGTATACATGGATACAGAACCGGCGTCGAATTGTGTGCAATATTTATCTTTTCTTCCTTCCGGATTTCTATCATTACTTTGCCTGTATGTTTTCCAGAGATCATGAATCTAAATGCTTTTTCAGCCTGGTCCATTTGAAAGATAGTTGAATTGAGAGGTTGAATTCGACCATCACTCAAATATTTTGTCATTACAGCTACTAATTCTCGGCGAAAGTAGCAGTCAAGATTCATAAATCTATCCAGCATTACACCTAAAAAGAAATATATGTTAGAACACGAATATCAATAATTATATTTCTCTCTCGCAAAAATTATATAAAAATGAATTACCCTTTGTTTCTAAACCGACCCTTTGAGAACTACTGGAACGATTTAACTGTTTTACTATTATTTTCTCCTCTTTATTAACTCCGCCTGTGGTCTCTAAGGAGTGAATTGAGTAGCTCTAAGGGGGCCATTGCCGGTCCCAAGCCCGGATAAAGGAGGAGGGTTGGGGCTATAGGCTAGCTCCCTATAACCTGTAAAAGCTACAAATGCTAAAAAACCTAACCAAAGCCTCGGAACTGGACGGAAAAATCAAAGCAGACTTAAGCAACGGAACAGGACAATGAGTTATGGAACATGGAATGTACAGGGCCTCACTAGGAAAATAAATGAAGTAATGATAGAAATTAAAAATCTAAAACTAGACGTCGCGGTAATCACAGAAATAAAGAAAAAAGGACAAGGATCGGAAAGCATGGGTCAATATGACCATTTCTACAGTGGAGTATCTAAAGACCGAAGAGCACAACAAGGAGTATCAGTACTTATAAAAAGAAACCTTAGAAAACATGTGCATTCATGGGAAACTATCAGTGAACGAATCATTAAGATAAATACGACTGTACGTGAAAATAGAATAACTATTTTTGGGGTATATGGTATAAACGATGACTCTTTAGTAAATGTTAAAGACGAGTTTTTCAAAAATCTGAATAACGAAAGAACAAAAGTGGGAAAAACTAGAGAAATCATTATACTAGTAGACTTGAACTGCAGAGTTGGCAAAAGTACAGATAGCCAAGTTGTAGGACCCTATGGAGAAGATACAAAAAATGACAACGGAGAAATCGACTAATAACCTTATGCGAACAGAATGACTTAAAAATAATGAATGGATTCTACCAACATCGATATATACACAAATACACATGGATACAAAATACAAGGGGATTAAGATCTATAATTGACTATAATATCATTAGAAAAGACTCCAAACTAAAAGTAAAAGATGTAAGAGTGTATAGAGGAGCCACGTGTGATAGTGATCATAATCTACTCAAAGCTACAATAGTACACAAACCGAGAAGAACCGATGTAAATATGGAAGACAAAGAACAACAAAAAAGCAACAAATAACAACAAAAGAGGTATAACATAGATAGCGTTGACAATGAGAGTACAAAAGAACTATACAGAAAACGCCTAGATCAGAAATTAATAAATACAAGATTCGAAGACCCCGAAATATATCACGAACACATTAAAAACAGTATACACTCAGCTGCGCTGGAGGCCTTGGAACCTTATGAATATACTAAAAGTAAAAAACCATATTGGTGGGATCCAGATATAGAAAGTATTATAACTGAAAAAAGACAAAAATATCAACAATTTTTAAATACAAATAGTGACAATGATAAAGTAGAATATAAAAAAATACAAGCAATAGTCAGACGCAAAATAACACAGAAGAAAAATGAAGCTTGGGAACGAAAATGTATGAAAATCAATACTTATCTGGGTAAAAGAAAAAGTACTGAAAGCTGAAAAATGATAAAACAATTAAGACAAAATCAAAATAAGGACATAATATCGACAGTAACAATGGACAAATGGGAATCGTATTTTAAAACATTACTTACCGAGAACAGAACATATTTTGAGACAGGTAAAGAAACACAAGAAAGGATAACAGTAGCCGCATCTCCCCTCAGAATAACAACTAAAGAAGTAAGGGAGACATGTAAAAATTTAAAAAATGGTAAATCCGCAGGCCCGGGAGATATACCAGGAGAACTAATAAAATATGGGACGGAAAATCTGCACCGACATATAACAAAACTTTTCCAGATGTGCATAGATGGCGCAGAAGTACCAAAAGATTTTAAAACCTCATATATCACGACGATTTAAAAAAAAAGAAATCGAGAAGACTGTGCAAACTATAGAGGCTTGGCAGTGACAAGTACATTAAGTAGAATTATATGGAAAGATACTAAAGAATAAAATAGAAAATGAATATAAAGAGCTAGAAATAGAAGAACAGGCGGGTTTTAGAGCGGGAAGGTCTACTGTGGATCATCTGTTTACCATAACACAGGTCTTAGAGAAAAAAACGGCAAAAGATCAAGAGGTACATTTACTATATATAGACCTCCAAAAGGCATATGACAGCATACCATTAAATAAATTGTGGGAAACGTTGGAAATAACTAATATAAATGTCAACCTACTTAAAGCAGTTAAGAACTTATACCAGAACACCACAACTAGAATAAAAATACGAGACTCATTATCAGAAAGCATAAAATTTACAAAAGGCCTCAAGCAGGGATGTTGCCTATCTCCTATACTATTCAAAATATACCTGCAACAAGCACTAAAAAAATGGATGCTTAAGTGTAGAGGAATGGGAATCCCCCTAATAAATGAGGACACCCTATACACGCTATTTTTTGCGGACGACCAGATAGTCCTAGCCCAATATCACGACGACCTTGAATATATGGCAAGGAAGCTGATAGAGGAGTATAAGAAATGGGGGTTGGAGGTAAATATCACCAAAACTGAATGTATGACTGTAGGGGGGCCACAAGAGAACATAGTCTTAGAGGCTGGAAGCGTGATAAAAACCTGTGACAAATATAAATATCTCGGATTAAAAATAACTAACGATGGAAAACTCGACGAGGAAAATCGAAAGATCGAGGAAAAAAAAAAAGATCGAATAATGCAAGGCAGAAGGGCAATATCTATGTTGAATAGTGTACTGTGGGATCAAGGAATCTCTAAAGCTAATAAGAAGAACATATATAATACGGTAGTGAAAAGCATAATAACTTACGGAAGCGAAGTATGGCAGTTGAAAAGCAGAACAGAGAACATGCTATTAGCGACCGAAATGGATTACTGGAGGAGATCTGCTGGAAAATCAAAAAGAGAACAAATAACCAACAACAGAGTAAGGGAGATTATGGGAGCAGAACACACAATTGTGGACGACATAAGAACAAAACAACTCATATGGTTTGGTCATGTGCAACGAATGCCTGATCACAGAATACCAAAACAAATTTTACTGTGGACACCTCGAGGCAGAAATAAAAGAGGAAGGCCGCGACGAAGCTGGAGGGAAGGTGTGGATAAAGAACTAGAAAATAGAGAAATACATGATGATCTCTGGCTAAATAGACAAGAGTGGAGGTTAGGTGTCGGAAAACGTCGTAGAACGTTCTGAACCGACTTATATATATTATATACTATTATTTTTATTATTAATTAAATTATGCTGGAGGCCGGGCTATAACAGCATCCAAGCGACAACGAAAAACGCCGATTAGCTAGCTAGTCAAAGATCATGGGCATCCTATCTTAGTTTAGAGCTCTACTGGGAATACCCTAATGTACGGCCCGTAGTGCACTAAAACTAGGAAAAAGCAGAATGTCCACTGGAGAAACACACAGGGGCACAGCAACGCCTTTATCCAAGGACCTAATTCCGAAACCACAAAAAAACTGCTAAAGCTTAGCAGGAATAAAGTGCGGATTACAACAGGTCACTTGACAGCACACACGACTGTCAATGTTACCTGAACAATCTCAACCTGTATTAAGGAGTCTTTGCGACTCTGCGACAAAGATCCTGAAACAGCGGACCACATAATATGTCACTGCGAGACTCTGGATTGCAAGCGACTCTTTTTATTTGTGAAAGCTAGACTATAACCGGAGGAACTATGCTTCCATCCTATCAAGAACCTGCATAAGTTGGGGCAGGGTACAGGGATAGGAGAATGGGGAATAGGAAAGGGGACAAATACAATAGGCCTCACGGGTCGCATTGTTTCCGGCAGAGGACGGTCCCTTGTTATTGAAAAAAAACTGTTTTACTATAATGTCATACTAGTCGTTAGTATCAAATAATTAGTAATTTATTTTTAGTATAATGATTATTGATGACTGATGATTCAAATGATTGTAATGTATAACTTTAAACTTTTAAAAACACTACGTTGAATATATTAATCATAATTGAAAAATACCGTGAAAACTGGCAGATTTCTCGAGAAGTATAAGTCTCAAAGGATTATTATTGCCCGCATCAAATTTTCCTATTTCCAAAAAGTGTCCGCCTTTTGCCAGACATCGAACTGAGGCAAGAAGCTTTTTTTCAGCTAACGAATTCAAAACAACGTCAACTCCTCTACCTTCTGTAGCTTTCATTACTTTTTTTTCAAAACTTGTGTCTCTTGAATTGAATATATGGTCATCTGGAAAGAAATAAATTATATGTTTTTTTTACATTTTAGTATCTACAGTCAAACTAGTTTATTTCTAGTTCTACGTGTATCCTTTAGTTGTGTTGTTCTACGCGGTGTTTTAAGTGTTTATTCTACGTGTGTTTTAGTGTTATTTTAGGATTTATTTTTTAGGTCACCAAAAATCTCCACAAATCAACCACAATAAAAACAGCCATTTATTTAATTCTTTATAGGGCAGTACTAATTAATTTCTAGTTTGATTAAATTGACTTCAAAAATCTATAAACTAGCACAAAGGGAACATATTTCCTTAATAACATTTTTCAAAAAGTTAACAAAAATAAGGAAGTAGGGTGGTGGTGGTTGACTTTTTAAACAGAGATTGTTAAAGCAAATAGATAATATGTAATGTTCTAATGTATATAATATATGTATCATCCAATGTAAAAAAAAAAAAGTAAGTTCATTTTGATTATCTCTGTTAGCTCTCTGCTCAAAAATATGCCCATATCAAGTAAATAAAATTATGTTTTTCGAGAAAGTGGCATGCTATTAGAAATGATCGAAAATATACAGAACATGTTAACGATTTTAGAAAATACCATCCAACCCGTAAATTGGGTGCACTAAATAAAAAGAAATACACATCACAGATACATTTGTTTCTATATTTTTAAATTTTTATCACACAAAATTTGCGTAGAAAATACATAGACGACAATTATTACCTATATGATATACAGCTACAAGCTAACCAACTCAGTGTCACCAATGCTCACTGGTCGAATATTCAACCGCTTACGTTATTGAACGTTGTTGTTTGTTACGTTGATTAAATGGCCAAAGCGCGCATAAAAATAAAAATAGCAAACAATCTGGGCGAAAATACACTTCCACGCGACTGATTAATTGGTTAAATTAAAGTAGTCGATTTAGCGACCATCAACCTATAAAGGGTTAAAACTCTGGATGCTCGTTTCGCTAATCATATTAGTATCATCAGCCGATGATTAAATTCATTGTCACAATTCATCTCATTATTTATATTCATCTGATGATGCTAAATTTTAGCGAGTCCGGTCAGGTTAAAACTAATATTGACTCATATTTTAATAGATATGTGTAATTTTGTAAAGAACTAACTAAAAGACAAATAAGCTTTCTTAGTGAACTTCTACTTCATTATAATAGTTTTTTTTTAATAAAATAATGGAGAAAAACTTAATGTTATAATTTTCTGCGAATTCAAAATTTATCATTACCGTTTATTTGTGGAAATTTTTTCTTTATAAAGTCTCGTTTTTCTTCATTGCCAACTGTAGTATAGACTGTACAGCCATTTGCAAGGGCTATTTCTATAGCAGCTTGACCAACACCTCCAGTACCAGAGTGAATTAGTATAGAATCCCCTGGCTTAATATTCGCTTTCTTAAAAAACAGCACCAATTTATATTAAATTATTATTAAACATAACTGAAATTATTTCATTTTTTTTTCTTTTTGATTATTAAAGTTGATCAATAACTATGAGTTATAATCAAATTTTATGGAAATGTATAAGCACAGAAAAAAAATTAAGTTTAAAACTTATGATAATTCTTGACAAATTATAATTTGATTTATGACAAATTATAACGAAATGGATTAATTGCAATAAATTGAATAATTGCCCATACGAGCAAAGAGAGAGATTGCTACACAATATTGATAAAAAGGTATTACCAACACTAATGCGTATATAACTGTGGCATAAGTCACAGGAACGGTAGCAGCATCCCTTAAAGACCAGTTTTCTGGAACCTCCCACATAAGATACTTGTCGCCTTTGCAATACGAGCCACAAGCTCCGTTGGATACCATGCCCATAACTCTCTTGCCACTGTAACATATTTGAGTAAAATACAGTTTTAATACATTTTAATCAAAATATAATCAATTCATAATATTAATTATTATAATACTATTCAGGGTGTCAACAAAATAGTGTATCTAACTGCGGTGATAGATTCTACATAAAATAAAACAAAAAGTTTCTATGAACATATGCCCTAACCAAAATGGATCTTAGTTCTGACACACCCTGTACATTTCAAAATAATTTTAAATTATGCACATTGTCTTCTCACATATACTCTTAAAATATTTTGTTTCTACATCTTTTCGTTTTTGTATAATTAACCAAGGCGAATGAGGTGCGCCAACCTGTAAAGATAAAATATTAAGTTTTAATACTCTTCAGGGTATTAAAATTAACAACCTCGGTTATGCTGAAGATACTAGTCTAACAACAACATCAGAACAAGAACTACTCAATATCTTGCAAAATACTGAAGATGTCAGTAATGAAGTAGACCTACAGATAAATGAGAATAAAAGTAAAATCTTGATGATTGACTGCAAAAACTATTTTTGGGTCAACACCTCAATACCTAGAAGAAAACAAATAAAGTCTAGTAGACTTAAGTAAGTAATAAGCCAGCCATGTCAGAAATCTGGCCGATGACTAAATAGCAAGGCCCGTTTGGAAAAAATACATAAAAAAATGGTAAATACCGCTTGCATGACCACGACTTCGACCAGGCAATGATCACCAATCATTGGATTTTGGAAGTTTCCAAGAGACAGGAATAGTATTTCATTAATTCTTATACAAGGTGTCCCATATTCCGTGGACAAAGAACTACTACGTATTTTTGAAATCAAAATAAGTTCATTGGACACAATTTACCTCTATACAAAAGTGGTTTGTTTTTCCGCTAGAGGGCATCAAACTTTCAAAAAATAAACATATTTTTTCAGATATTTTAAGAGTCTATGCTTTGCTAAGTACTTTAACATTTGGTTTTCTCAAAAATCATGAAAAAGTACTGGAAGGGTGGAAACTACTCCTACCCCTACATAAATTTTAGTAGAAGTATTTTTTTCAACTCCAACTACGACCGATTTTTTTTGTAAAATAATTCTTCTAGTACCGTATGATGTGGCCCTCTTTAAATCATACGGCCTTTATTCAAGGCCCTCGCGGCCGCAGTGGAGGGTCCCACGGGACCCACTCTTAGTCAATACAATACAATACAAATACAATACCGTATGATCGAAAGAAAAACGGCATCAGCGATGGCTATGAAATGAAGATCGCTGTCATTTTATATGGGAAATGTCATCGATCGTCATTTCCAAGGCAACTGGCCGCCGTTTTATTCGATCATAAGGTATTTACTATATTTTTTGTTTCTTGTAAAAAAAATCAAAATGAGTTTAAGTAAACACGTACAAACATTTTACAAAATGTCAAATGCATGGTTTTAACACTAGATTTAAGAACGATTTTCAGCAAGCAACACATCATATTAACTTAACCTGTAATGCTATTTTGACTAATTTTCTACACAATTTTGTCTTGTTTTTGAAAATAAATAATTATTATTATCGTTATTTGATAGTCTAGAGTTGGACAGGGTACATTGCAAGGCTAAACGATTACCGATGTACGAAGAAAATAATAGATGGAATGGAGACCAAGACATGATGCATTCAGGAGCAGAGGCCGTCCTCCAACCAGATGGCATGACGACTTAAGACGTATCCACAGTAACTGGATGCAAATATCTCAAGATAGGGTGTTATGAAAGCAAACGAAGGGGGCCTACTTTAGTGGCTGGTTAATGATCATAATGATGGGTAGACTAGATACAGTATTTTACTCAAACTAATCCATATGATTAAATCTATTTAATTTTAAATTTATATTTTTAAAAATATTCTTTACCTTGCTAACCGACCACTAAACTCAAAGCCTTGAACACATTCTTGTTCCCTTCGTTCTCTAGTAATTGTATCCACATTTATCTTTCCTGTAGCAGTCATGACGTCTCTAAAGTTTAACGAAGCATAGTATACCTTAAAATTATATATTTTATTAATTAAAAATTATATGATTCTTTGTGTTTATGTTTTTCATATTTCAAAAATATTTCATAAAAGATTTTCTTTTGAGATTCGATTGTATATCATATATGATAGCAACATCGCAAGGCAATACAGCATTCTTCAAAATATTATATTTAACATTAAAATGACTCAATTATAAACTAGTTATTGTACAATAAATGAAGGCAATAATCCAAAATCAAAAATCTTTACTACTGATCGGGACTTTACTTGTAAACAGAGTACTAAAATTGTTTATTGTTTCGGAAACTTCTTGAAATAAAATGGAGTAGCTTTGACTTACGGCCACAATGTCTTCATCAGGGTTTTCTAATCTCACATCATTTGATGAAATTGGTCCTTCCATCCACCTCAACGAGCCCAAATCGCCTCTTACTAATGAATTCAAATAACAATGCTCAGCCTCGATTGAATTGCTTTTATCGAAAAGCATATGTCTATAAGTTCCCCATTGGCCGTTCTTGTAAATATTTATAAACAATTGTTTTCTTAATTGAGATTCGTAAAATGGCGAGTTTACAGCAAAATCTGGTGCAGAAGGATCGAGTACAAAAAGAAGTTTTACATTTTGACCACCTATAAAATGAAGAATATCATTAGATGGCAGGTTATAAAGTTAGTTTAGCATTATATTATTTTGACTGTAGATGATTTATACAGTATATGATGTCAATAATTATATTCTAGATTATTTTAAGTGTATTACTGTCATCTGTGAGCTATTATCCATACTACAATATTTAACACCAAATAAACCAAAAATAAACTAAATAGAGGAAAAATTAAATTGTATATAACGTTGATAATTATTGTCTTCCAATCATTATAACTATTTTTATTTAATTAGAAGTACTGTATAAAGGAAGAACGAAAACATCGACATTTTGCCTTCCATTCTGGGGTACGTGTTGTGCGATTCAATTTGACCGCATTTTTAAGCTCCAGAAGAGAGCTGTTCAATATTCACTGGGACTAAACAGCAGAATTTAGTGTCAGGACTTTTTAAAAAAATTAAAAATTAACTCTTCCTTCCTTATTTATATTTAGATCCGTTTGCCTAATACGTCAGCATGTATCAGCTTCTTAAGAAAGGCTATCTCACACTTATCCACTCAGGAACGCGGAACAAGATCTTTATCTACCTACCCCACGCTCAGAGTTAGTTAAAAGTTCAATATTATACAACTCGAAAAAAATGCACAATTACCTGCCATTTGAAATCAAATCCATAATATCATTTTCTTCATTTCCAAAAGCATTGAAATCTTATTTACTAAACAAGGCTTTCTACGCCGTAAATCACTTATATTTTGATAATAGAATTTGACCTTCTAAACACTGGTATAATGTTTGCTATTACTATATTTACTATAAACTTACTAAATATTTTTGAATATTATTTTTATTTTTTTATTCTTTGACATTGTATTTTTTTGTATTTGTCGTTGTAAATGTTTATTTTAAACAATAAGACTGACAATGGAATTTGTATACTTATTTTGTATTCTCTTTTATTTGTTTACTTTACCTTTGTCTACAAATTGTAAATTTTTTTGACAATAAAGGCATTTTTTTATTTATTCCGAAGTTTGCAAATATTCCTTAGCTTTTGAGACATTTCTCCAAAATAAAGATACAATCAAGTTGACGTTATACAGCTATTATTACAGTTGAGAGTTGAAACCTTTGATGTTTACAACAGCAAAATAAAAACACTATTCACCACAATGCACCAAAACACTTTACTTTTACGCTGGGCGCGCGTTTTCCTAACTATGTTAGTACCATCAAGAGATGATTAAAACTATTATATACACTGTTATACAACTAGATCTTTCAGTCTGGATTTTCACACACAAAAATTTTGGCTGAAAGGAAGGTTTATCTTGCTTATGGGGATGGAGAAAACAGCATTTTTCTGATTTTAAAATCTCTGAAAATTTCTCTGATCAAAATTATGATTCTTTGGGAGTCTTGAGAATAGAGGATACCCAATTAAAAAGAACGCATAAGCAATTCAAGTGCAGCAAAACCGCGTTCTACTCGGCAAAATTGACGCTCAGTGAAATTAGTGGTAGGTTGTAAATATTATACCGTATGATCGAAAAAATAACGGCATCAGCAATGGCTATGAAATGAAGATCACTGTCGTTTTATATGTAAATTTATATGGGAAATGTCATCGACCGTCAATTCCCAGCCAACTGGACGCCATTTTTTTCGATCATACGGTAAAATATCGGGTAACATAGATCTCAATATTTTCCACTCAATGGGTAGCTCATTAGCGTATGTGGAAAAAAAAATTCGTGGAAAAAGCAAAATTTCAAATAAATCATATTCAAAAATGTCAAAACACTCTGAATAGAATGACATATGATATGTCATTCTCTTCAGAGTGTCATTTTGTTCAGTTAAATCAAAAGTTGTAGTCGTTTCCGATGAAAGAGAAACTAACCGAAAACAATTGAATACGTCAAAATAAAAAAAAATAAAAATGTTATAGGGGCGAGCCACTTTTGAGACGCACCCAGTATATCCTTAAAATGTATTCAGTACGGTTAGTTATTAAAAAGGTCTTGAAAAAGGCACTTCAACTTCTCAACAATAGATAGTTATCATCACTTCATGCTGTAAAACTCCCAGAATTTTTTTTTATTTTTTGTTTGTGGATGAATAGTATTTAGTGTTAAATAGACTTTCCGAGCAAAATTCATTTTTGATTATACTTGGCCAGATTTAAAGACATTCACTGCTATTGAAGTTCATTTTTATAAGAAATAGTTTACCTGGTTCTCTGCGAATACAAGAATAGAATCCAAGTATTCCGTTAAAAGGTTCTTTATCGACATATATAAGAATATCCTTTTCTTTTTCCAAAAAACTACGTAATTTTGGGAGCCACGAAAATTCAGTGTCTAATGCTGATATTTCTATCCTGGGTGGTTTATATTCAGATACTGGTTTCATTAAAATCAATTTTTCATTAGCCGTTGTATAAACAGTAATCGTAGAGATATTGTCGTTATCAAAAGTAGAATGATCCAGATCTTTTGATTCTCTGGATAGTATAAACCCAGAAGTGTGTAGAGATCCCAATGCCAGCGTCAATATCTAAAACAATTTATATTAGATACTTCTGCACCAAGGGCGACAAGAATATATTTTCAATAGAACCATATTTCTTAAAAAAATAAAAACGAAGTAATAACTCAATTTAATCGGAGTCTCAGAACTTACATTAGGTCTTTCCAAGAGCCGTGAAGCGATAACCAATTGACAGTCAACCTCAGTGAGCAGCTTCTTATCCTCTACTGTCACGTTATTCACTACTAACTCAGACTTACTAAGGACGGTTATGTTGGGTTGAATTAGTGGTTGATCTGCGAGGACGTCGAATACTGTGTCACCTAAAAATATTTTGTCTTCAAATTTTCAGTTTTAATGATATAGTAAAGTAGTAGAAGAAGTAACTGTTATAACTTCAATATTAATTTTTTTTATACCGTTCTGTTGGGATAATTAATATCGAGATTAATATTTCATAATGCTTGCAACAGTCCTAATAATATTTTTAGGGAAAACAAACCTCAGAGAGCAGAATAAATATCGTGGGTGTTTGGAAAGGCTTCAAAGGAAACAATTATGTTTTTTGCGACTTTTCGCGACTTTATTGCTGCTTCTTCAGGTGCCAAAACATATATTAAGTGCTTGAAGAAGCGATAATAAAGTCCCGACACGTCGCAAAATAAACATAATTGTTTCCTTTCGAGCCTTCTCAAACATCCACGATTTTTTTCTGCGTACTAACTACTGGGAACTAACAATAATCATAAACCTCAGAGCGTTCTACATATTCAAGAAAAGTACTTGTTGTCTGATGGAAAATTGGTATGAATTCTATCAATTCTTTGTTATATAATTTTATTATTTCTATGAATTTGAGGACCGTAATTCTCAATGATGAAAATGATGAAAATACTATTTTTTGTGTTTCTGGGTATATTAATGATTATTGGTAATAAATGATTTTAGAAAAATCTATATAGTTTTTGCTAAAACCATTTACGTATTACTTATATTAACGTGTTTGTTAGAAAATGTACAAATTAAAATTAATGTATAAACCTACCAATTGTTTTATTTTCTTCTGGCGTTGCTTCGTCAATTAATTCCACAGCTTTTACTTGAAGGGTAAAAATATTTTCTAATAGTATTTGCATATTGACTCTTACAGCTTGTTCCAACTTCAGATTAGTCATATTTGATAGAAAAATATATTTCTCTAGTACTGGAATACACGTATTTTTTCTTTTAGGTATGGAACTGGCAATTAAACCACGAATTTCTATACCTCCAGATCTAAAAATTAAACTATTTTAAGTCAACATTTCTTTTTTGCTGTCAGCGCTAATTTGGACGATCAAGATAATTTAGTACTTCCAGTTGGACCCATATAGAATATTTTTCTTGTGTTTATAATTTTTTGAAAAGTCGTGTATTTCATATTAATTTTATTTTGACATTACTTATTTAATTACAATCATACATTTCGTCTTTACCCTTTACCATAATACTTACTGAATAACACCCGCCTGTTTGGAGGCATAAACCGGCACATTGGGATTTTCTCCTAGACTTTCTACCATCTCGATGTGCTTTTTTCCATCAATACTTAGTCTAGATATAAACGTAGGAACGTAAAGCAACCGTGTGTCTCCTTGTAGAAGTTTTACTTGTAGCATATTGTCCATAAACGTGACCCAATTTCCATCCCATTCAATTGATGCAACCTGGCCACTAATATCAGTAGATTGAATAGCTTTAAATTTTCCGCTGGTAAAATAAATATGAGTTTGAAATATTCTGGCAAACCTCAATATCAAAATACCTGTAATTATATCCACGCAGTCTTAATTCTTTGTATACGTCCTTTTTTGACATATAAGGTGCAGTTGTGCTTGACACACCAGCTGGCAACGGAAGTGGCGTAAATTCAGCTTCATCTCCTTTAGCTAGTTTTATCCTTCAAGTTACAATGGTTGAGTTACCTATAAATATAAGTATAGGATGATCAAAAAGTATTTTTTTTGTGAAACTATTAGTAATAAAAAATATTAGTAATAAAGAGCAAGTGAGCAGAGTGAGAAGGCAAATTATCTAGCTAGAAAAGAAACGAACGCTCCACTAACTGGACCAGAACGGTTGGAACCAGAAAAATGGATCTCAAGAACGTGGAAGACTCCATCAGTAACCTGGAGTGGGAATCCTGCAACGGTCTAACACACAAAGAATAAGTTTTTCAGTACTTACGACCGCGAAAAATCAAATACATTTCTTTATTTAAGTAAGAACAATCTTCGGATTGTCATGGTTTTAACAGAACACTGTCTCCTCAATAAACACCTCAGTATGATTGAAGCTAAAAAGAAACGGCAAATGCAGATTCTGTGGGAAAATGGGGAAACACCAGAATACCTTCTCATCACTGAGTGCGCTGAGAGGACAACCCTTCGTACCATAAACTGTGGTACGATTGATATCGGAGACGGAAAACTACCCTTTGTAAAATTATCTCGGAAATTGGCTTTTGTCAAAGTCCTAAAATTGTAGGATTAGTTATAACTCAAGAACGAGGGACACAATAGATCTGTAAGGTCGTAGTGATTAATCCCCCACTCATGTTGCATTCTACATTTTACATTACCTACTAATAAAAAATGACTTACCCTCGCTAATCTCAAAGTTGCCGGACACCGCATGAAATAAAACACGCAGATATAATAACAGAGATCCATGTGTGGACGAAACGGAACAGGCTCTTATAAACCGACAGTTCTCAAACACAACTTTTGTATATTTTAACATAAGTCTGTAAGTACCAGCCAATGCTTCCCAAGCCAATAATAAATATCCCATAGCTGGATACAGATTTCTTCCTAAAAGTAAAATTTTAAGATTATACGATAGTTATCTTCTGATGATTTTAGAAATAAGTTACCATTTCTTTTACCTACTACTAATAATAACGATTATTATCACTTTTCGTATTTTTGCATATGGTTTAATCGAATCTGTAACATGCGGTTCATAACGACAATTTGATTCGAAATTCCAAGTGTGTGGTACCAAATTATTCGTAAAAAATGCTTTTTCCTAATATGCTAATGTGCAGGTGCCCTGTTCTATTTGAAAAAAAAATAGATATGATTAAAACACGATTTAGGCATCTGTTAACCGACCAGGACAAGACACGAAAAACGTTAGACAATCAAATATATTTTTCCAATGCTCCTTGATTATAAGTTAGTGTTTTTAACATAGCCATGGCGCTCTAGATTAAAATTTAAAATACAATTTTTTTTTAAGCGAAAATATCAAAATTTGACATATGATATACGCAGCTGGTCCATTAGCATATTTGGGAAAAGCATTTTTTCACGAATAATTTGATACCACACACTTGATATTTCCAGTCAAATTGTCATTATGAACCGCCTGTTACAACTTGAAATAAACCATATATGCGAAAGTTGACACATGATGTGTTATTCTATTCAGAGTGTCATTTTCTAATGAATAATGAATATTCCCAGGATGCCATTTAAAAATCAAAAGATGTAGTCATTTTCGGTGAAACAAGAAGTGACCAAAAACAATAATTGAATACGTCAATCAATCCTAATTTATTCCATATACTAACATACTAAATCTCGTTTTTTTTATCTGAAAGAATAAAAAAGTTATAGGGGTGAGCCACTTTTGAGACGCACCCGGTATATGTATCTACTGGATTATTTTAAATGTTCTCCTAATTTAGTATCTTTGTAGGTTTTGTATGTCTCATAACTCTAAAACGAATTCGTACAAGTTATTGGAAATCAACAAGTTGCTTTATTTTAAGAAATTCTTTAAAAAAAGAAATTCTTTAGGGTCAATCGTGACTAAACAGGGCATTGGAGAGGACGAAATTAAACTCTGCATTCAAGTTGGCAAGAGAGTAGTGGGATGCTTAAATTCATTGTGGGTGGGATCAGCATCTCTCTCTTCGAACCAAAAATGCTATGGTTGCGAAGTATGGGCTCTAACAGCCGAAATGGAACGGAGACTTACAGCGGTCGAAATGGACTATCTCAGAAGGAGCGCAGGTGTATCAAAAATGGACCGAATTACCAACATAGAGATCAGACACCGAATGAATGCTACAGAGACCATTATAGACAGGGTCGAAATCAGAGGTCTCAAGTGGTTTGGCCATCTATTAAGAATACCGGAAGATCGATGGCCGAAACGTCTGTTTCAGTGGAGTCCTCCACAAAGAAGAAAGCGAGGTAGACCAAGAAGGTCGTGGAACAACACAATCAGGCAAGCGATGGCATCCAGAGAGCTGGAAGAACTGGATGCATTTGATAGAGAGGTTTGGCGAAGGCGAACGGTAAAGCAGCAGTAGTTGTATGCTTGATTAATGGACTCTCAATGTCGAATCAAAAATCCCGTATATATATATACAGGGTGATTTTTAACCTATACGCATAAAGTTAGGAAATTATTGCTGATGACATATAATGACTAATAATGAAAAAAAAGTTAGTAAAATATTTTTATTTACGGAGATAACAAACTATTTGAAATAAAATCAAAAAACGTAAATTCCATTAAATTGAATGTGCACTAAATATTTTTATTTACGGAAATAACAAACTATTTGAAATAAAAACAAAAAACGTAAGTTCCCTTAAATTGAATGTGCATTACTGGTAAAGTTGATAAATTTTTATGAAACAAAAAACTCAAAATATTTCAGAATCTAAAAATATTTTACTAACATTTTTTTTTCATTATTAGACATTATTTGTCATCACCAATAATTTCCCAAGTTTATGCGTATAGGTTAAGAATCACCCTGTATATAGTCTATAAAATGAATACCTTTATATTTTGACCGTTATTTTTTACCAACATGGCAAATATAAAATCCCTCTATCAAAAAAGTTACTGATATTCTTTAAACTGAGTGCCTGAACGAATCAGATAGGTAACTCTTTTTACTTTCGTGAAATAGAAAAGGAAAATAATAAAACAAGCGACATTTCTTCCTCTTCTTGCAAAAATCAACACAAAATGTCATAATTGCCATTAGTAAAATATCATCAGCTTTTGACATTTCTAAATATCAGACCAATGCCGTCTCTAATAGAACAACCTAGGAGCGAGATTGATGACGTCACGCTAGTTAGATACTACGGATTAATAAATATGTTGTAGAATACATGGAAAACATGTATTCATGATACATTGTTATTGATACATGTTCATTCATAAACATTGTGTTTTAAAAATGATATAGTTTACATGAAATATACATAATATACAGTTAATAAATACAATACATATACCTATTTATAGTAATAAATACTTTGGCAAATAAACTATGAAACACACAAATGCAGCAAATGTTTTACAATATACAAATAATGAATAGGTACATCAGATAATGGATAAAATGTAAAATATATTTTAAATTTTGGGGTTTGAAAATCGATATAATTTAACAAAAAACATTCAATATCTACTAATAGTGATGTATTATTATTTACATTCACAAAATTTATATGTATATTTTGCAAGTATCAATGTTCGAAAAATTATATTTGCAAATAATACAATATCATAAAAAAAAAGGCGTCAGCGATGGCTATGAAATAAAGATCGCTGTCATTTTATATGTAAAATTATTCTAAAATTTTTGATTTTCTTGGGATTTAGGTTCGGGAAAAACGCTGATTAAGTTTTCATTTGGTTTTTCATTATTTTTATTTGGTTTAAAAAAAACGTTTCGGGAACATTATAGACTTCAACAGTGTTGTATCATATGAAAAAAATAGTGTCGAATATAATCCAAAAAATTACATATAAAATATTCACACCACACACCACATAATGTTTACTACAATTAATAAACTAATATAAACTTGTCAAAAGATGACCACATATTTTTTAAAATTATTATTCTTAACACTAAAACTATCTACATTGACTATGGAGTGCGATTTCAGCCATAGTCAAGTGAGGCTGTTCTATTAGAGACGGCATTGCATCAGCATGGCCGCAAGTTGCTAACCTAATAAAATTAACACTAGAAAAGCCCGCGGGAACTGTCAAATTCAAAGTTATTCGCTTCACAGAATATATAAGAAATTCTTTAAAAAGTTTCATCATAATTTGTATGAACATAAAATGAGAAAAACTTACTAATCCTTTTTAAAATTTACATGGGATTTCCGATGTTCAGGTTGAAGATGCAACACACAGTATGTATATTACTTATTTATAGTATATTACTAAAATGTTTAACTAAGTTCTTTTTTTTGTTACTGGCTACGTAACAGTTATTTGTTTCTCCGAGAAATTATCATGCAATTTAAATATACATACCATCAACTACATGTCCTTCCAAATAAGAAAAATCAGGTAATTTGATATAAATTACAACTGTTCTTTGTTCGAATAATTGAGAATTTTCATCTGAACAACGAACGGACCAACGTTTTTCATGATTCCAGCCTACGGACGGAGAAATCATAGGTGTGCCTTTGCTGACCGGATACGGCACTTTAGGATATAAGTATTGGAGTTGAGGGTTAACACCTAGCTCGTATAATCTATTGAGTAAAAATAACTGGTTACATCTTATACTCTATTTTTTATTAAAATTTAAAGCTTCATTTAGAACCTCCAAATTAGCGGAATAAATTAGTGGTTTCAAATAGCGTGGAAGTTTGTTCCTTTAATTTTAATGTAAGCATTCGGAACGTCAAAATTAGTGGTAGATATTTTCATTAGTAGAAAAAAGTTGTGAATGATCATAAACTAAATAGTATAAAGTGTAATTGAAACCACTAATGCCGAGGTTCTGAATGAAGGCTAATATCGGTATTTTCACAATTCATAGAATTATGATAAGCACTTATTACAAAAACATATTCTGAAAGATAACTCTCAAACTTCTATGGTCCTCATTTTTTCTTAAACAACTAAGATGTTTTGATCGGATAGTACAGTGAGTATTTTGTAGTGGTGTTGATATAATAAAAAAAGTATACAATATTTTTAAAAATTACATAAATATACTAGTGCTCGGGAACAATAATTCAAGAATAGTCCCGATATATTACTGGTAAGTATGCGTCCTTTGGAAACCCAAGCACCGGCCTTTGGAAACTCAAGCATCTGTCAGCAATCGCAAACGAAAATAACGTGATAGAACTGGACCCCAGTAAACAACAGGTTATATGGGAGAACTATTTGACAGAATTGTTCGGAGATGCGAGAAGAAAACAGGAATATCCAAAAATAGAGAAAGGAGACCATCTACCCATATTGAAAGATGAAGTCATCAAAGCAATCAGAGTAACGAAAAGCAATAAGGCACCGGGCGAAGATCAAATAACAGCAGAGCACTTCAAACACATAAGCGATAATGCCATCAAAATTCTGACCCAATTTTTCAATAAAGTATATGAAACTGGAACAATCCCCGAAAACTGGGTAATATCTACCTTCATAGCCTTACCCAAAAAGAATAAAGCGAAGAAATGCGAAGACCACAGAACAATATGTCTGATGAGCCACGCAGCGAAAATCTTTATGCGAATAATATTCAATAGAATATACAGCAAATGTGATTATTTCCTTACTAGATCACAATACGGTTTTAGAAGGGGGACAGGAACAAGAGAAGCCATCCTGAGTTTAACGTTAATTGCAGAGAGGTACATGGAAGTCCAAAGGAACCTGTACGTATGTTACGTTGACTACAAAAAAGCGTTCGATCGAATACAGCACGAAAAATTAGTAGAAGTTCTCACTGAAGTAGACTTGGATGAGAGAGATATTATCATTATAAGGAACACATACTGGAATCACAAAGGTTGTGTCAGAACAGAAAAAGGAAATACAAGATACGTAGACATACAAAGAGGTGTTAGACAGGGATGCATATTGTCACTATTATTGTTTAACGTTTATGCCGAATATATAATCCGAAAATCTCTTCAAAATTGTCCAGAAGGGGCTAAAATAAATGGAAAAATTATAAACAATATAAGATATGCAGACGATACTGTGGTATTAGCAAAATCCGAAGACCAGCTGCAAACCCTAATGGACAAACTGACAGAAGAAAGTATCAGGATGAGTCTAGAGATTAACACCGCCAAGACAAAAACTATGATTTTCGACAGACATCCGCAAGACAATGAAAATACCGACATAATGGTAAACGGCGTCCATCTAGAAACCACGCGGAGTTATACTTACTTGGGCAGGGAATTAAACAGCCAGCTAGACCACTCTAAAGAAATCAGAAGAAGAATAGAAATAGCTAGGGCTGGTTTCCTCAACATGCGGAAGTTTTTGTGCCATCCCAGAATAGGTATACCAACGAGGCTAAGAACATTAAAATGTTATACAGGGTGTTTCAAAACAAATGCGAAAAACTTTAGGGGGTAATTCCTTGTTCAAAATAAAGGGTAGTTTGCTTTATAAACGTTGTGTCAAAAGTCAACCATTAGGGAGATATCGCGGTACAAAGATGGCGGAAAAATAATGTTTTTATTTTTTATCTTGAAAACGAAAAGAGATAGACTACTGAAATTTTATGGAAGCATTACTGTGAAAACACACTTTCTGGTAATTTTTTCACTTTTTTAAAATGAGTGGAAGGGGTTGAAATAAACAACCCCTATCATTCTTGTTAAAGAAATTTAAAGAAAAATCTTATGAAACACATGAAAAAAAAATAAATTTGGATAGTTTAGTTTGTTTAGAAACTTTTTTATCTCTTGTTTTTTTTATATAAAACTCACCGATTTGAAATTAAAAAATAAAATGTAAAGCATTACATGTCAGGACAAAAAACATTTTTAGATAAAGAATCTAGTGGGCTGCTGTAATTTTTTTAGAAAAAAATCTAGTCGCCTCTGTCACTTTTTAGGATGTTTCTAATATTATTTTATTTGACATTACTCTACTGCAATACGTTATTATCTTACGATTAATTATTCCGAAGCCTTTTTTTTTATCTAAAAATGTTTTTGTCCTGACATGTAATGCTTTACATTTTAGTTTTTAATTTCAAATCGGTGAGTTTTATCAAAAAAACACAAGAGATAAAAAAGTTTCTAAACAAACTAAACTATCCAAATTAATTCTTTTTGCAAGTGTTTGATAAGATTTTTCTTTAAATTTCGTTAACAAGAATGATAGGGGTAGTTTATTTCAACCCCTTCCACTCATTTTAAAAAAGTGAAAAATTACCAGAAAGTGTGTTTTCATAACAGTAATGCTTAAATAAAATTTCATTAGCCTATCTCTTTTCGTTTTCAAGATAAAAAATTAAATAATTATTTTTCCGCCATCTTTGTACCGCGATATCTCCCTAATGGTTGACTTTTGACCGAACGTTTATGAAGCAAACTACCCTTTATTTTTAACAAGGAATCACCCCCTGAATTTTTTCGCATTTGTTTTGAAACACCCTGTATATGACCCCTACTTCAATATGGATGCGAAATTTGGACGCCAAAACAAGAAGACATCAAACGCCTTAATGCTTTTGAAATGTGGATGTATCGTCGGATGCTGAGGATAAGTTGGACCTCCAGAACAACAAATTGTGAAGTTTTAGACAGAATGAGAACTCGTCCACACTTAACAGGCACAATTAAAATCAAAAAGACTTGTCCTACCTTGGACATATAATGCGGCAGTCAGAACATGAAGAAATACAGCTCATAATAGAAGGAAAAATCGATGGAAAACGTAGCATAGGGAGGAAAAAGAAATCATGGCTACGTAACATAAGAGATTGGACCCACACCGACGGAAACAGTCTTATTCACCAAGCTCTGGACAGAGAGTCATACGCCATATTAATTGCCAACCTCAACAGAGAAGGCACCTAGGAGGAGGATGCGTCCTTGTTTTTTTTTTGATCTTGTGTTAATTTTACCCCCCCCCATATAACATTTCTAATGACTATGATAACTAAACGATTTAATATTATTGGTTTATATTGCAATAAAGTATATCTTTATCCTATTTAATAATTTCAATAAGTGTTATGACACACTAAATTAGATTAATACAATAATTACAATTAGACCCAGCTTCTCTTGGATCGGATTTAAATTATAGCATACACTGAATAGTAAATTTTGAGAATAGCCATTGGTAGACGAGACAGAAAATAATGCCAGTTATATCTCAATAACGTTCTTAATTATAGTAGCTTTTCTAAAAAAAGTCAACTAATTATGGAAAATACTAGTTATAAAGTTAGATTTAAATATATAAATTCATAATCAGAGTGTTTAGTATTGTTCACAGCTATGGAACAATAAATTGTGAGAAACCAAACCTTAAAGCTTAAAACATTAAAGTACAATAAATATAACATTAATTCACCACAATACACCAAAACATTTTACTTTTGCACTGGACGCACGTTTTGCTAACAGATGATTAAAACTAATACTAGTTTATCATTACTAGTTTTAAACTTAATGTTAAATGCTATATTAGTGGCCGTAAATCTTCATTTTTTATTTTATATATAAAGTTAATCGAACCGCTGTTTTTGACTAAGGTCTGATGATTAGAGCGCGGATTTCTAGAAATTCTGCCATAAGTAATATTTGATGGCAGATATATTTTGATGATATACCTACACATAAATTACAAAATATGATGCTGTGGCTAAGTTTTCTTGTGCCATTTTGCTTATTTTCCGATTTTAAATCATTTATTTTTTTTAATGCCAGTTTTACGCATATTTTCTTCATTGGTGGGATATTTGGTGCTTATTTTCCACTTCATTTTCAACTTCGGTAATATCTGATATGATTTATTGATTGTCGTAACTAGATTTGCATTACCGAACGCAAGAATGCAATAATTTTTTTTTCCGAACCCACTTCCAAGTGAGAAGATTTTGTTAATGCGCTCCGATGCGGCTGCATACATGATATAAAAAATATAGGTTTGACATGAGTTTTATTTTAATGAAGCACTAAATAAAACATCTTTAAACAAATATATACATTACCTTCCAATGGATGTTAGGAATTCATTTAATCCTCCTCGACTTACTACAGATGCGCTCTTCTTAGAAGACTTTAATAGACCATTTATTTCACCATTTCCAATTTCAAATAAAATACCTGTTTTTTTGACAGAATCTCTGATTTTTTGTGGAATATCGTCGCACTTTAATGAATTCACGATATAGGTGGAATCAATTTGTGCAGGATATGATTCAACAATTACATTGTCGCCTAAAATTCTCGGCTTTGGAATGATAATATCCAAAATATTTTCGAAATCTCTTGCTAAAAGATGAGTGTTAAATGTCATATAATTTTACAGCTAATATATCGGATAGCTAAATTTCATGAAAATAATAGTATACAAAAATTCAATCAGTGCTGCCTCAGCAATTATAGTATGTTCTCTTTAAATAAGTGTGTGTTTCTAATTTTTTTTGTTAGTATTTAATAAACCTATCAAATCTCTACATTGATGTTTATTAAATGTCTCGGTCACGTACGAAAACTATGAAACTTATATTATTTTCGTTAATATATTTTTATTCACAGTAAAACACTAGAACATGTGAAATTATCAGCAAAATTTTCAAAATTTGCAATTCATTCAAAAGGCTAGTTATTCTTTCACCCACTTATATACCGTTTTTTCAGATTTTATATTTATCTAAATATATTCCTTACCACCTTACCATATTTTTCGTCTTCCTGAATTAATTCATACAATTCTGCAGTACTACTTTTATTTGCGGCGTTCATAATAGAACCAATAACATAAGCCAGCTCAACCACTTCTTCCAAGCTTAGAGCACCATCAAAATAGCCACATGCCAAGCCACCCAGAGATAAATTTTTATTAACGCCAAAGATTTTTGTAGGAGCGATTTGTAGAGCTTTTAGAGTATCGCAAATTGCCAATTGTAACACAACATTAGTAAGAACCGTGTTAAAAATTGATTTGGTGCTATCCTTCAGTATTACATTTATAATACTAATGTTCTTCAATTTAAGCACCAGATGTACTCTGCAAGTATAAATTTTGTTAAGTGTTTTCTATTAGTGGCTGCTCGTGAGGTAGAGTCACAGAGTCATGACTAGTTCGACAAAGCTATGTATTATAAAAACAGTTGAATATGTGGTTGTGAAAAACTAACAAACTTATTTGTTTCTTGTGTGTTTTGTTCTGAAGTGATTGAACTTCGGCCACAACAGTCAAAAAAGGCACAAAACATCATTTTTAAACAGGGTGCTACAAATTCGGGGTACGATTCGAATTCGGGGTACTCGATAACCGTAATAGATACGAATATGGTAAAATTGAGACAAAGTTGCGCTTTGAGATGTTCATCAAGATGCCATCAAAAAAGTTTTAAAAATTTCAAGGATTGCTGAGTTTTTTGGAAAAAAACGGATTTTTCTGAAAATCTATTTTATTTTTCCTGTCGTTACTTTCTAGAAAGTCAAAAAACTATTTGCACATTCTGACACACATATTATTGGGGTTATCTGGTAACCACCCTCCCTATTGCACAAATTTATTTTTTGTTCAATTTTATTTATTGCTCTTTGAACATATTCCTTCTTATACTTCCGAATGCATTTTGTAGTTTTTATTATAAATGTTGAAATGTATTGATTTCACTTTTACAAATGGCGTCAAGTAATGTCCCTCCACCCCTTGGCGGCAGGTCCAGGAACCCCGCTGACCATTATACAGCTCTACCATTTACAATTCATCTTCCGGGGAATGATTTGATTGTTTATATGATATTTATATTATTTTATTGCATTTGATTTTCCGTATTCAAAGTTTTACGCTACGTCATTGTTAAGTTTAAAAGCTTATCAATATTGTAACGATGAATGAGTTAAATATTTAAAAAAAAACAGAGCCGGACTTCAAATTAGTTTAAATAAATTGTTTAAATGTCCGAAACAAAGAAAAATATTTAGTGTAGCATATCATTGTACTCAGAAGACCGAGTTCTTTCAAAATCTGAAATAAAAACTGCAGGTCCGTATTTATAAAAATTAAGTTGGCCTCTGGATCTCACAAATTATCAGCTAATTTGTTATATCTATTACGGTTACCGAGATACCAATGCTCGTACCCAGAATTTGTAGCACCTAGTATATAGGGAAAAATAAGGACTTACTTATCCAGAACTTCAGCAAAATTGGGCACTTCCAAGAATTCTTTAACATTTTTTGTAGATTCTTTGTCAATAACGCCAAAGCATATCAGTAAAGGAGTCGGCTTGGAATCAAAATAGGTTTGTGATCTTAGTATTTTACCAGATTTAGATGCTAACACATAACCTCGATAGCAATGAGCACTTATATTCTTACTAGAAGAACAACAAATGGTAAAAAACCTTGAAAATATTTAATACATATAATGTATTTATTTGTATTTAACCAGGAATATTTTGTAGCACAGTTGTAAACTTCATAATATTGTATATAATTTCAAAATTGTAAATTTCGAAAAGATAAAGTTAGAATAATATAAGTAAATTTAGGCAAAGTACCTAAAAACGTCTTGAAGCAATCTGATATGTTCCATATCAAGATTATTTTCTATTACGCTATCCAGAAGAATGTTGACTGCATTGGGCGTCCTACCACTGACACAAATCAATCTAGGTATATTGTCAAATGGTCTACCCTGGTTTACTTTTTTCTTAGGATTATGTCGGAGGAGTATGTGACAGTTAGCTCCGCCAAATCCAAAGCTGCTGATTCCTAAATAGGCAAATTTATCATAGTTTCTGATGATTGGTTTATATGGGATACCACTACTACTAAGAAAATACATTTTTGTCGTGAATACATGTTTCTACCCACCTACTAAGCCTCTGTCATCCTTAAATTCCATTTTTTCTGTCACTACTTTAAATCTACCATCCATTAGCGACTTTATACCTTCTCTCGGACTGCTAAAGTGTATATTAGGTGCTATGTACCCAGTTTCATATCCTAAGATGACCTATAAAAGAGAAACACCCGTGATTAATAAAATAAATTGTGTCTTTTAGGATGTTTAGGTTTAGTATCTATACTTGATAGCGAAGAATGATATAGCTTTCTAAAATGGCATTGCTGTGTAAGTTACTAACAAACTAACAAGCAAAACGCAGAAATCGTGCCACTTAACAGGACACTGCAACCTCAGTAGATTGAAGCTACGAAACAACGGCCAATGCAGATTCTGTTAGGAAGATGGAGATACACCCGAACACCTCATCACTGAGTTCGTGCCATAAACTTTAGTACGTCTGATATCGGAGATGGAGAAATAACCTCTGTAAATCCTCGGACTCTGACCTCAGATACTTTGTCAAAGCCCAGAAACTCGTTATAACTCAAGACAGGGAAAATATAATTACTTAGAAGGTATTACTTTTAAATCTTTTTATATTATTTGGAACATTTGAAATTGTTTAAAAAATTATTAGTGGCGTTTGAAAAAAAATAGCATGTTCGGTTCGGAGTAAAAATGACTTTTTGTGTCTCGCCTGTATGTTGGACTCGCTAAGGCTTGTCAGACGCAGCCTCACCACAGGAAGTATTATTTTTACTCCTAATAAAACAATATACTGTTATATATTTTTACATTTACTTTTATATGTATAATCTAAAAGAAAACATTCGACCAATGTGTACTACCAGTCATTTTCTACCTATGCATGCGAAACCTGGGCACTTAAAACGGACATCATAAGAAAACTGCAAGTCGCACAACGCTCAATGGAACAAAATTATGTTGGGAATAACCAAGAGAGACCGTAAAAAATAGAGTGGATACGACAAAAGACCCAGGTAATAGATGTCATCCACAGAGTCAAATCCCTCAAATGACAATGGGCAGGACTCCTGGCAAAAAGAACGGAAAACAAATGGACCACAAAAATTATGATGATGAATATGATATATAACATTATTTTATATTATTATTTTTTATTTAAAGGGTTCTTGGCTTTTGGTCAATATTAAACTTTTTCTGGGTTTAGGAAGTGTTTATTATATAACTAACGTTTCGGTTCAGTTTTAACCTTTTTCCAAGCCTACTATATACGATATTATCAAACTACAACTGTGTAAAAAAATATAAATAAAACTTACCACAAAACCTACATTGCCTTCGTCCAACTTGTATTAAAATATGGGTGCATAAAATAACAGCTGATAACACATAACATTTAACTTAAAATTATAAAAAAAAATTAAATAAAAAATATATTAGTTTGGTCAAAGAAAAGTTAATTAAAAAAAAATTTCTATTTATTTATATACATGGAATACGATCGAATGTAACAAGATGTTTCGGGATTACGGAATAATACTTTTACCTGACACGAAATGCGTTACCCGGCAACACTACGACTCTGAAGGAGGAGTAGTGTTGCCGTTGTCGCATTGAGTGTCAGATAAAAGTATTAGGTAATCCCTTTAAATAAGAAGGATAATCCCGAAACATCGAGATGTACTCAAAAGATTATACAACGAAATAAATACATATATCCTTCTTATCTTAAACATTTTTATTATAATAAATTTTACCAAATCTTTCTTTTGCCATAAGCATTGACGTGATTTTTTGTGAAACTGACAGAAGTGACTTCTGAATTAATATTTTAAAAAATGACAATTACAATATGGCCACCAAGCGATAATGACTTAAATGATTATCACTTATTAGTCACATCCTTCTATATAGGAAAAATATAGATAGAGTTGTATAATAATTATAATCTAATCTCTACCTATAATCCTCTAACATTAACAATAGACGGGAAAAAAGGAAAAAGCTAAAATGAGATGTCTGCAACCTACAAGATATGTAGGTTCCAGATATATAACATAACAAAAACTGGCGACTGTTGTGAATTCTTCAAAAATCAAAAAATACTAGCGACTGGTTTATTTGAAAGCCCGTCATAATTTCGGTAATAAAATTTCAACTTGAGATTTTATAATATCGATTTTAAATGCACTGTTATTTTCATATAAGTTACTGTTTAAACTAAAAACTGTTATGTTTTTGATGCAAATGTTATAAACTGTTTTTTATTTTTATATTTTATTTGGTTATATTATAACAACTATAGAATACCACTTTTTAAAGCAACCAGATTCTTAAATTTGCCTTTTGGAAATGCCAATGTTTAACAATCGGTCTTTAATAAAAGCGTAAACGCAATAAGCTATTGTAAATGGAAGTGCGAGTTTCAGGAGTGGTATGTTTGTTAGTGTTACCTTTGTAATAGACGACAATCCTGAAGACGGTTCTGAATGACCGATGTTAGACTTAACCGATCCTATAAGAAGAGGAGATTTTCTTTGAGGTAAAAACACTTCCTCGATGGCTTGTAATTCTTCTGGATCGCCCACTTTTGTCCCCGTTCCATGTGCTTCCATGTAGCTTATTTCGTACGGTTTCACCGATTGACATTCTTCATAAAATTCTTTTAATAGCTTCAGTTGCATATTCCTAGATGGAAAGGTGATTCCCGAATCCTTAAACCCATCACAATTTGTTTTTGCGTGTAGTACTGTAGCGTAAATTCGTTTGGCTTCTTTCGACTTTTGCAGAAAGATGGCGCTAATTGCTTCGGATCTGGCATATCCATTGCCAGATTTATCAAATACTTTGCATTTTCCGTCCATACTGAGTACACCCAATCTAAAAGTAAATTAATGTTGTGGTTGGACTAAAAATGTTAAAAGCACAGTTGAAATAAATTAACTTTTAGAACATTTATTGGTACTGTAGCTCAGTGTTTCTTAACCTGTGGTCCCCTAGGGATCCGCGAGTATGGGTATGGGGGGGTCCGCCTTTTATCTATGAACATTTGATTTTTTATAAAAATGTATTTTTTTGTACTCAAATAATTTGTCCTAAAATTTCTGTCTTTTTTATTATTAGCGGGGTCCTTGAAACTGTGCTTGATTTTTTAGGGGTCCGCGAATTGGAAAAGGTTAAGAAACGCTGCTGTAGCTCATATTATATCCAACAAGAATATATCTCCTTATACCTGTAAAACTGTAAGGAAATTGCTGGACACAGGCAAAGTGATGCTCCTCCTACAATAGCATTCTCGCACTGTCCATTCCTTATAGCTCTGTAAGCATGTTCTAGAGCATACATTGAGCTACTACATGCGGTGTCGCAGACCATAGATGGACCTCTCAATTTCAAGTAATAGCTGACACGGTTTGCAATCATCACTCGATCAGCCCTAAAAGAATTGTCAAGTTTACTATCTCCATACTTTTTCTTTGATGTTCATAGATAGAGACACCATTCCTACGCAAATAAAATACTGCTGTATTTGGTGTTAAATAAAATACGATTTTAAAAAGTATAGTAATATCAAACATAATTAAACAAACAAAACGTCATGAAGTAGAGGGATGCAGCCGGGCAAATGTGCGGTTTTCTGTAATAGGCTGTAGGATTCCACTATTCTTCACGCAAACAAAATACATGTTTTTGGTGTAAAATAAAACATGATTTTAAAAAATATAGAATGGTAATAGATAATATGAAACATAATCAAACAAACAAAACGTCATGAAGTAGAGGGCTGCAGCCTGGCAAATGGTTTTCTGTAATAGGCTGGAGGATTCAGGATCATGAAAGATTCAGTCAATATTAGAGAGAAAATTCAATCGCAGTTTACTATAAAATTCTTCAATAGACCATAAAATTTCATTCAGAACATTGTCGCAAATCGCTATTCCTAAAAATTCAAACTCGCAAATATAAGATTATCACGGTCCTACTTTACAAAATCACAATTGCAGCAAAATCGCAAATAGCAACTATAGTAATATTGGTTGACTAATCTGAAACTCGCAAATAGAATAAATCGCAATCGCAGTTTCTTATGAGAGCCATTCGCAGGTTGCGATTGCGATTCTAAAATCCCTGAGTATTGAAATCATGATTACAAAGTCCCGCTTAAGATGGGCTGGTAACGTATGCAGAATGCAAGAAAACCGCATACCAAAATATCTGCTTTACGGTGAGCTTGTAGACGGTAAGAGGAGGCCGGGTGGACAACTCAAAAGGTTCAAGGATATTTTCCACGAAAACTTAAAAGGAATTAACAAGCAGAATGAGTGGGAAGGGGCAGCTCACAATAGAACGGAATGGAGTTCAGTTAACAGCGACAACGAAGCAATGAGATTTTTGAATGTCTGGAGTGCGGTAGACAGATAACATCACGTATCGGGCTTTTCAGTCACAGAAAAGCTCATGAAGGAAAACGCCTTGCGTGACCATCTTCTGATGCGTGTCAAATACTCGTCAGCGAGTAATGGCGGTATGGTATGGTATGGTAAAATCGCTGCAATTGAATCGCAGTTTGCGATTTTCTGCTCATCTTTACTACTAACATTACAAGCCAAAAACATACCCTTATAAGAAAATCAGCCACACATTTAAACGTTTAGTTATATTGAACACTAACCCAGTTAGAACAAAGGTATTAGGATTTTTCACGTCGCAATACAAAGAGGTTTCACTTTCGCTAAAGGACGCTCCCATGAATACTCCAGTATTTGTTCCTTGTAAATCGACAGGGTTAATTCCAGCATCTAATATAGCCTCAAAAACAACTTCCAAAGAGAGTCTACATAGCGGGTCCATTTCATTTGGTTGGCGATAATGTATACCTAGAATACAAGGCAATATTCAATTTAATCAGGATGCTTTATTTAGGTCCCGGTAGCATAGAGGCCTACTCTATGCCATAAGTCGTAGGTTGAATTACTGTAGCAGATTATTTTAGAATATTTATGCGTAGTTCTAATTGGATGCTAAGCCAACATATACAGAGTGTCTCAGAAATAAGTGCAAGTATTTTAACTGTAGTATAGTTCGTGTAGTATAGAAAAAAATGCTTGGTGTCTCTATTTCTTGACATTTTCCGGAAAATGTTGATAAAGTTTTGAATGCCACTGTTCATTCTCCAGAAATTTGTTGCGTGCATACATTAGAGTGCATTGAAACAATCTCGGAGAGAATGCATTGGCCACGGAAACATTATCCCACATTCTGCTTATAAATTTTGTTTATAAATTTAGAGTAATTATAGGTTTATACAAAAAAAAATTGCGAAAATTAATTTTATTCGAGTTAGTGTAGATTGTACTATAGTAAGTCTAAAGAAACTCACAATGTTTTAAATACTTTTTACAGTTTAAGCGACCACATTATTGACATGACCACCTATAGGGGAATATGGCCTAAATATACTGTGTTATACTGTGTTATCGTATATACTGTTTATCGTATATACTGTGTTATCGTCGGCGGCAATCAACGTCACGCCGACGCCGCCTATAAGCCGTATCGTGTGTTTTGGCGCTAACTGTATGTCAGTATAAATGAAGCCTATAGAAATTCAACACAACAGCTTTATTTCTTATGGGGTTCAACTTTCAAAATATGTTCTGTGTTAGTTTATCTACCAAAAAAAAGAAATAAAGACTATAACAAACCAAAGAAACTGGAGTCAAATTTGTCGATGTCGTATAATTTTCCAGTGCGTTGAGGAATTTCTGGGTGGGTTGGGTTCCATCTGCGATTATCATCAGTCACCATATCAACCTTATTAAAAAGATTATCACGGAATTCATATACATTCCTTGATTCTGGATATTTACCAGACAACCCTAAAAAATTATTAAAATATGTTTAAAATTATAAATTTAAATATCAATCTACATCTATAGAACGTAAATGTAACATGGCAGCCGTATAGCTAAAAGTGGTATATTATTAAGAAATTTCATTTTTATTTCACCCTTTTTTTATTCCTCACTCTTAATATTATACCGCGCTGGCAACTCTTGCTATTGGATCGGTGTTCACATGTGTTGAAGTGAATCGCATAGGGATCACAATATAGTCAATGTGTATTGCACATTGCCTATATTGTGCCTGTAGACACAAATAAGGCACAATTAGGGAGCCTTGCGTAATAGCCATATTGTGAACAATTTTCTATCTTGACTTATTATGCCGATCAATGCTGGTTAGGTTAAATATTTTTGTTAAACAATATTTGTTTTGTGACCCTCGCTGCTATCTTTTGTATACCAAAAAACTGCACGAAAAATTTTCCAACGCATGTAATTATTGGACTACCGCAGGAGGAACACTTCAATGTTAATACTAACTTACTGTTAAAATACAGAAGTTAATAAAAACATTTTACATGTAGCCATTTAGTTCGAAATAAAGTGCCATGATGTGTATCCTTTGTGACAACGATGTGTGAGAGAATAATTTTCTTGGTAAATCTTAAAAAAATAAGTAGTATTAAAAAGAGTGATGAGTATCTAATTTGTGTAGTTCACACATGCATTAACTGAATTCCGAATTTTTGCCTAAAATGCGTTGTTTGACCGTGCTTCACTTCCCACGTATACTGAGCTCATAAAAGTAACAGTTTCGAAACATGTGTGTGCAATTGGTCGCATAAATAAAACACTGATACGTAACTGTTCCTTAAATCTGACAAAATATTGCTCACTGGCCTTTTCTTTTCATTCAAAAAAATTAAAAATCGCGTTCATCAATTTTTAATGCATGGCAATTTTCAGAACTCGTGTACCTTTTTTGTTTGTAAAGATTTTCATATCCTACGTTGTCTACACAGAAAATATAGCAGAAACAATAAGATTTAAAAAAAACAGATTCAATTATTTCTGATGGATTAAGAAACATACTTCTGCGTCGAAGAATTGCTCCCCCAGTCGAAGAATTCCAATTCCACCAGTGTGTTGAAGACTTGTTAGGCAACCGTAGCATGGACAATTATTGTCCATGAATTAGTCCTGAACAATTGTTTATTGTTCAGCCCTTAAGGTCAACACCGAAGAATCAGTTGTTGAACAAATATCAAGAGAAATAGTTTTAATTGTCTCTACAAAGACAGAAAAAATGTTGGCAAAACGTGACACCAATCAATACATCCCAATCAATCAAGCAGTACTTCAAATATGTGTATTTGAATTTTGTGTGAGTCCTGCGAAATTCAAATGCACAATATTTTTTTTTTCAACGACGAGAAAGTCCGAAAAGGGAAAGCCTTGATCCTTCCAGAAGTTAAAAGATCAAACATCAATGTAACCAAAATTATAGTAGCACCTAATATTATCAAATTAAATTTGGAAGAGATATACCGATTGATGACATGGCGAAGCAATTAACTTTACCAGCCGACCCCTCTATATACCAGTCTATACATTGGGTCTCTATATATTGGAATGGGACTCTTAATATTGGTTGCCTTATTACTAATGTTGTTTAGAAGAAATCTGCTCAATTTGGTATCGATTTGTTATCCAAAAATTCAAGAAGACGATAAAAGAAGAAAGAAAAGATGTCGAGCTGAAGTAAATTCATCAAAAATCAACTCCGTTGTTTTTGATTTTTAAGGAAGGAGGTGTTACGTATCCGTATGAATCAAGGTCATGCCAAGAATAGCTGCTGAGGATCGTCTTAAATATATAAAAGTAAAATATTCTTACACTATTGTCATACTCGGTTATTCTCTGTTATTGTACTAAATCTTCAACTAAGTGTTAATGTTGTGACTTTAAGTTTTTGAAAATATTTTTTTAAACGCGGCTTTGAGTTGTGAAATCGTAATTTGTTATTCTTTTTTTGTCGCTTAAATCCTCTTCAAAAAATGAGACTTACCGGAAATCACAACCTCCTCGCCTGGATTAGGTTCAGCCAAAATTTTGCCTGACTTTATTCGAATATTCTCATCAAAAGAAGCGTTGCCTTCATTTAGAATATCCTCACTTTGTGGGGCCATGTTCATTTAATAGATTCTGTTGGATAAATTCTACTAATCAAAATATTCTTAATATTGGGCGATATGAAAACTATCTAAATAACTCTTCACTGTATATCAATAACCTATTAACAACCACTCTTCAAAAATATTCTGACTATCAAAACGAGTGACAAAGAAAGAACAATTCTACTTATATAATATCCAAAGTTAATTTAATATTTTAAATTATGGAAACGGCAGACAGACAGGATTTCAATAAGAATACTAATTAATTAATACAATTTAACAATTTACTGATTTAAGTGAAACTCAAAAAAGTGACCTAAATTGTTTTTTAATTAATTAGTATTCAAATTTTTTCATCCCATAATGCAGACATCAAAAAACTTACGAACTTACACCGTGCGATCGAAAAAAACCGCGTCAAAGATGGCTGGGAAACGACAATCGATGATAATTTTGACGAGTTCAAACCCTAGGCGTCATTTACTTGTCTTGTATTCTTTTTTATTTTTTAATGACGCTTACTACAGAATACAAGGAGGAAATCACTGCTAGTTTTCACTACAAAAAAATACTATTATTATTAAAATACCTAAATGCAGCTATTCAAGGAAACTTTAGGTTTATTTTCAACTCATAGACTGAATTTGATTGACCAATTGATTGATATACTGGATTTAAAAGTCTGATTTTTTTTTAGGGGCTATCGCTTCCTTCATAATAATTTTTGCATTGTTAAAATCTACACTGTGCCCCGTGTTCCATGAATGCAGACAAATCTTAGATTTGTGAAAATCGCTCTTTCTTAAATATAATCTTTATGCTCTTTAATTCGTACATTTAAGGGTCTAGATGTTTCACCATTATAAAATTTATCACATTCACACGGTATTTTGTATATTCCATGTTTTGGTTGTTGTCCAATGTTCATTGGTTTAGTGTGTGTTAAAATACTCTAAGCGGGGGTGTCATCCCCCAACTTTTTTCAAATGGGAAGGGGGGTCAAGTGGCACCGCAATGAAAATAGCTTTCTATTCTCTATATTTCCCCGCTTTGTTTTTGAAAATGGCTCGAGTCATTGAGAAAATATGAGGGATTGAAATTTGAAAAGTTTATTTAAACATTTATCAGAGTAAATGATAAGAATAATTCCTCCGATCAATTTGCTGTTTTTCTTATTATTTCTAGATGTTTACGTATTTTTTCACTTGCCACAAGTTTGAACGTTGCGTTAGTTGCTAGATAGCTGTACTGTGACTTGTGCGTTGAAGTTCTTCTCAATATCGTTAAACTGACTCACACTAAAATTTCCAAAAATACCAGCCCACACGTTCAATTTCTAGGAGTTTTGTGTGAGCACCTCGTGGAAAACCCTGAGGTTGTCCTCAGCCCAGTACCGATTTTGTACGGGTGGAACTTGTGTTTTTTTAATATTCTTTGGCCACTTGTACGATTCACGCCGGTCTCATTGGCTAATTTTCTTGTACTTTGCGTACTATTCATGGCAACTTGGCCCAATATGAATACTCCATAGTTTCATTTACTTCAGGATTTTCCCTCTGCCTCTTTTTATTCATAACGGAACCAGTTTTGCGAAATTTTGCTACTAACTCGCGAACAATTTTTCTATAAAGGTGATTGCCAGGATAGCGTTCATTGAATATGTGCGCCACCCGATACATTTAAAATAAAGTTTTTCTGCAAGCCGTTTTTCTGCAAGTGAGTACACCATAATTGTTAAAAAGTTTAACGATATTGAGAAGAACTTCAACGCACAAGTCACAGAACAGCTATCTAGCAACTACCGCACCTGATCGTTCAACCTTGTGGCAAGTGAAAAAATGCGTAAACATCTATAAATAATAAGAAAAAACAGCAAATTGGTCGAAGGAATTTATCCTAATCATTTACTCTGTGAGTTACTTATCATTCTCTTCTCTAAACAAACCCCCCTTCCCATTTGAAAAAAGTTGGAGGATGACACCCCCGCTTAGAGGGTTGAAGATTTTGTAATCATTTCTGGGGCAAAAGTTGTCCTCCTCACAAAGAAAATTGACGTGTTTTTGAATTATCTGAAAAAAATTACTCTGGCCGTTATACCTTGCGGAACGTTTTCGATGGGCCACCTTGTTTTGTAAATTGTTATCATTGTGTGTATTCTGTCTATGATTTGGGGGTTTGTATTTCGTAAAAAAAATTGAATAAAAAAATTCATGGCAGACCTGATAAGCAAAAACAGAAAGACAGTCAAAGCTGTAGTGTGTCTACTAACAGGCATCTAAAGCTAATGGGATTGACAAAAGAAGCCATGTGTAGGTTCTGCCAGTCTGAAGAAGAAACGACAGAACACATTTTATGTCGGTGCGACAGCCCGGCAAATGTGCGGTTTTGGGAAATAGGCAATGATAGACCATTCCAAGGGAGCTACATAGAGGGTTCTGTCTCCAAATTGCTAGACTTTGTGAAAAGGATAGGACTGCAGAATGTAACCTAAGGATTAGAAGACCACAATGGATCTGAGAAAGTCGCAGTTAATCAGACTGATAGCCACCTCTAGGAATCTTATCTAATCTAACCCTGATTTTTAAAATAATTTTTATAAGAAAAATTACATTTTTTTAAAATTTATGTTGTCATGCAAGTAAACTATAGTATAAAATGTCTATACCTATGTGGCGGATTCATCTATCCAAAAAAATCCTTATGAGTTTTTCGCCACTGCACTGCAAGAAAAATCTACAAAATAAAATTGTTATTTTTTGTAAACACTTCTGCGTTAAACCTAAACGGACGCTGCTTGTCAGTTGTGTTTGCAGTAATAAAAATTTGCCTAACAAAGAAAAAAAAATGCTTAACGTTTCGGAAAGTTTTCTCTTTCCGTCGTCGGAAACAAAAAAATATAAAGAATTAAGAAAAAAACTATTTAAAATATTTAAATTGAACTATTCGAGAACACTTTACTTTTTAAAACAGATACGTCTACAAGAAATCGTTGACGTTTTGTTAAAATGACATTATATTAAGTTAAACTTCAAAATTAACAATTACTACCTGATAATTACTTAATAAGGTAAAACCAAAAAACCCAAACTTTCTGTATGATTATTTTTAAATTTTACGTATGTTATGTTTATTTATGTAATGTTCTTTAAAAATCAAAGAAGCAATTGCCATACATTACTAACATCTACAGATGCATGAGCAATACATTTATTTTTATTAGATTGAATTAAAAAAGCCTCTTTTATTTTTCTTTTAGAGGCTATCGCTTCTTTCATTATAATTTTGGCGTTATTAAAATTTATTCTGTGCCCTGTGTCCCATGAATGCTGACAAATCTTAGATTTGTGAAAATCTCCCTTTCTTAAATAATCTTTATGTTCTTTAATTCTAACATTTAAGGGTCTAGATGTTTCACCAATGTAAAATTTATCGCATTCACAGGGTATTTGGTATATAACATTTTTTTTATTTTTTGTTTTTTTCTCTCTCTCCTTTGTTAAGTAATATTTTTATGGAAGATTTTGAAAATAATACAATAAATAGTTTTTCAAATAAGCCTGTAATATGGCTGCGTTATGTTGATGATATTTTTGCAATATGGCAACATAAAGTTTCTGAAATAGACATTTTTTTGGAATATATAAATTCTCGCGAACCTACCATAAAATTTACTTTAGAAGTAGAGAGAGGTAATCGTTTGCCATTTCTTGATGTTTTAGTGTCAAAATTTTAAAATAAACTAATTTTAGATGTTTAGAGAAAACCCACAAACACAGATAGATACTTAAATCTCACATCTAATCACAGTATAAGTGTAAAAAAAGGTGTTATAAAAAGTTTATATGATAGGGCAAAAATAATATGTACAGATGACATTTCACTAAACAAAGATATAAACCACATAAAAAATACATTAATAAAAAACGACTATCCACCATATTTTATTGACAAAACACTAAACGAAATACAAACCCCAAATCATAGACACAAAGATAACAATACACAATATATACAACTGACAATTCCATACATACGAGGCGTGTCGGAAAAAATAAGAAGGATAGGAAAACAATATAACATACAAACATCTTTCAAAACACAAAATACACTTAGATCAATTTTATCACATACTAAACCAATGAATACAGAACAACAAACAAATATAACTAATAAACAAATGTTATATACCAAATACCCTGTGAATTCGATAAATTTTACATTGGTGAAACATCTAGACCCTTAAATGTTAGAATTAAAGAACATAAAGATTATTTAAGAAAGGGAGATTTTCACAAATCTAAGATATGTCAGCATTCATGGGACACAGGGCACAAAATGAATTTTAATAACGCCAAAATTATAATGAAAGAAGCGATAGCCTCTAAAAGAAAAATAAAAGAGGCTTTTTTAATTCAATCTAATAAAAATAAATGTATTGCTCATGCATCTGTAGATGTTAGTAATGTATGGCAATCGCTTCTTTGATTTTTAAAGAACATTACATACTCGAATAGTTCAATTTAAATATTTTAAATAGTTTTTTTCTTAATTCTTTATATTTTTTTGCTTCCGACGACGGAAATTTATTTATTTCTTTGTTAGGCAAATTTTTATTACTGTAAACACAACTTCTGACAAGCAGCGTCCGTTTAGGTTTAACGCAGAAGTGTTTACAAAAAATAACTATTTTATTTTGTAGATCTTTCTTGCAGTGCAGTGGCGAAAAACCCATAAGGATTTTTTTGGATAAACTATATATAGTGTTTTACTAAGTCCACAATAATAATAATTCTTTGCACCATGATAATCATTCACTGAATATTAGAAGAACTTCAAATCAATCACGCAAAAGACAATCCTTAGGAAGTGGTGGATCGAGAGATTTCAAATTGTTCAAATATTTTTTGGTCACGTTCTCATCGACATGTTCCAAACACGTCTGCGGAAACAGCGAAAGATAAGCACATACCGGTATTCTGCCTCCAGCACACTCACTAGAAGCTCTAATAGTA